TGTCTCCGTGAGGGGAGGCTGGGCCGGGGCACCTGGCCCAGGTGATGCCGAGCCAGCTCTGCCCCTGCATCTGCATTTCCCAGTCCTGTTTGCTGGGATTTCGGTTCTTTTTCCCAAACCTTCTGCATGACAGTGATGTCAGCACCAAAACCTGACTTTGTGCCGATGACAGAAACCCTTCTGTGTTGAGAATCCTCTTCTGCAGCTCTTGAGAAGGACGTGTGGTGCAGAGCCCTTCTTCCTTGGGGGCATGCAGGGCAGTGCCAGCGCTGGGCAGCGCCAGGCTCCTTCCTCAGCAGGAGGAGAGGGAGGCACTGCCCACCCGCAGAAAGAGCAGAAACGAGGGATTTGGCCAGGGTCGCGCAGCAGGAGCAGAGGGAGAGCTCTGGGCTCCCAGCTCCCTCCGAGCGTGCCGCGGAGCCGCCGCCTCCGCGCAGGATCCGCCCGCGTGTCAGCGAGGGAGACTGGCTCCCACTCCCAGGGAAGTTCAGCCACTGTGAAATCAGTAAATTACACAGGCCCACAGAACTTGGAAAAACAATATAATCCTGGGGGTACTGAAATAATTAATTTCCTAATCAAGTACACCTCGCTTTTTTTTTAATTTGCAAACAGCACTCCGGTCTGATTCCCCGTTTCAGCCACGCCAAGGATGGAACCTTTGGGGCAGCAGAGCCGGAGGGGACCGAGGCAGGGTGAGTCCCCCCTGTCACCCCGGGGGCTGCGGGCACGGCAGGAGCCCAGCGAGGGCTGGGCGATGGTTTTGGGGGATTTGCCGTGCTCTGCATCCAGCCCGGGAGGGAAGAGCGGGCTCCCGCCGGGGTTTGTGCCGGGCTCTCTCCCGCTCTCGCTGCGCCCTTGTTTGCTTTAAATCACTTCGAATGCGGAGGCTGTCAGACAAGACAATTAACATGGGGAAGGGGGAAAGTATTACCATCCATTATTTGCCATAACATGAATTTAAGCCAGGAAGTCAAATGATAAAATATGTGGTGAAAAGTGTTGGTGGTGGGAGTGCCTAAATGAGTAATAGCCCTGGGCTTCTGAGCCCTGAACTTAACGCGCTAAGTAAATCCCCGAGGTCAAAAAGTATGAAAATTGTTGCAGCTTGGGGAGATATATTTTAACTTTGGAAAAGGTCCGCGTGGATCCGCTGCCGGGCTCGGGCAGGCAGATGCCGAGCAGCCGCAGCTCCGGGAGCTGGACCGACGGTCGGGGGATGGGTGCTCGTTTTGGGGGAAAAAAATAGAATGAAATATTGAAATGGAATCAGGCGAGGAGGTTGTGGGGCGGGATGAGCGGGAGCGCTTTGTGCCGCCGGCAGCGGCTCGGGCCGGTCCCGGCCATGGGAGAGCGGCTGCGCCCCCGGGATCCGATCCGGGCCGGGCCGGGCCGTGCCGGGCCGGGCTCCCGCTCCGCTCCGCCGCGCTCCAACTCTTCCCCTTTAAAACTCCTCCTTTGGCTGGCGCTGACCATGCGGCTGGATTTATGGAGAGAGATGTTTTAGCAGAATCCCCCCGAGTCCCCCATCAGCCCTAAATCCCCAGCCCGCGCTCCCCGGGAGCCCTCCTGACACAGAGCATGCCAAAACAGCTTCGTTTTGCCTATGCATTAGCAATCTATTTTACCTTTTTGACATCTCTCACACATAAAACCGTAAGAGAGAAATAAAATATCTGTCTCTGGGCGAAAATAAAGCTTTGCCTCCCTCCTGATCTATAGGATATAAAATAAAGCCATGGCTTTGATAGCGGCTTTTCCTTAGACCGGAGTTGCTTTTGCACACACGGAGACAATGAAGATGGATGAGCCGGGAGCGGTGCATCCTCCGGGGGTTCGCTTCACCCTCTTTTTTTATAGCCCCCCCTCGCCCCCTCTACCTCTCCACTTTTCTTTCTTTTCTCTTTTATTCGCCTTTTATCTGTCCTTTACCGAGCGAGGATCCCGCTCGGCTGTCCCACAGCCGCGCTCCCGGCCGGGCTCGGGGCCGCCCCCGGGCCCTTCCCGGACACCCCCGGGCCCTTCCCGGACACTTTCCCGTCAGTCAGAGGCAGAGCCGCGCTCCTCGGATTTGTAATTATTTATTAACCGTATTTTCCCATAAACAATGCATGAGCTCGGAGTGTAAGCGACAACATTTAGCGACGTGGGCAGAAACCCGGGAGGGCTAATCACGGGCGTGGGGAGCAGGAAAATAAATAAGGAAAAGGAAAATAAAGAGAAAAGAAATAAAAGAAAAGGGAAAGGCGAGCGGAGCCGGGGGGCGACGCTGTGGTGTTTGCCCTCAGCATCGACCCGAGTGTGCCAGGATAAACTGGGACCTTCTAATACATCATTTAAAGATCTTTTTCTTTCTTTCTTTTTTTTTTTTTTTTTTTTTTTTTTTTTGTTTGCCCTCAGCATCGACCCGAGTGTGCCAGGATAAACTGGGACCTTCTAATACATAATTTAAAGATCTTTTTCTTTCTTTTTTTTTTTTTTCCCAAGCTCTTTTAAAACAAACCTGGGGATGGATCCTGTCCAGCCATGGGGTTTATTGCGCGGGGATGTTCTAAACGCTTAATTACATCTCAACTTCAATATTTGGCCAGAGCATTAACCGCATCTATATTTAATCAGGCGGAGGCGCTCGTCCTGCGGGGGAAGGTGCGGGGGCCGGGGAGAGGTGGGACCCCCACCCTCCCTGCGGGCTGTGCCCCCCAGAGAGAGCCAGACCCCGCCGGGGGAGCCCCGGGAGCCGGGACGGGAGCTCGGGCACCGGCCCCGAGCCCGCGCCGTCCTGGAGAAAGGTTTAAAAGGAGGGGAAAAAGAAAATGAAATTTCAAATGAATGGGAAAAGAGGGAAAACTTGGCGCTGTCGGGGTGGATGTGGTGGAAAGCGGCTCCAAGCGTGGGCAGGAAGGGTTTGCCCGGCTGGGGATGCGCGGATGCTCCGCAAGGAACCGCGGTGCGGGCTCGGGGTTTGTGCAGCCCCGGCATCCCGAAAAGGAGACAGAAATCCCATCGCTGAGCGCAGCGGCTGCGAAAGGGGAGGATAAATAGGGTGAGGTGTGACTAAAAAGATGGGAACGACACTCATAAAATGTAAATTTAAAAGCGCCTGAAAGGAACTTGGTTTTTTTCTTCAGTATTAGATTTAACATGAATTTGAGTTTGGGTTTGTTTGGCATTTGTTTTGGTTTTGGTTTGGTTTTTTTTTTTTTTTCTCTTATTTTCCCTCTCTTTTTATTTGGGTCTCTTTCACTAGTCACTATTTTACTTACACTCTCTATTCTTTAAAATTTTAAATTTTTTCTTCCTTTTTAATTTCTATCCTTTTTAAAACAAAATTCCCTTTTTAAAATATCTGCTGATTTCCCCTCTTTCTTTCTTTCTGTTCTTTTTTACTCTCTTAATGTCGCTCCTTCCAGCCCTGGAGCTCTGGAACCTTCCGGTCGCTGGGGCTGGGGCCTGGACCCGGGAGCGCACCGGGGCGAATTACAAAATAGAGTGAAAACCAAAAAATCGCCCCGAACGCAGCAGCCGGCGCTGCGAGGGGCGGCACACGGGGGTGCTGCCCGGGGGTGCCCGGGGCTCGATTTTCGGGTCTGCTGGAGACAAGCGCGGGCGATTTGGCCTCTCAAGCGCCTGCTCTGGGTGGGATCCCCGCTGTCCCCGTCCTGTCCCCAGCGGGGCTGGGGGGTTCGGGCGGGGAGGGGCCGGGCACGGCTGAGCCCCGGCAGCGCGGGGACAGCCAGATGCTTTCGCTAACGCCTGGGAAAGGAGAAAAAAACACAACAAATCGCTGTGAAAAACTGGTGTTTGATGGGCGCGAGGTGCTCGGCGCCTTCCCCTCGTTCAGCCCCTCGGACACACGGCAGCGGGCCCGGAGCGCTGCCCGCAGCTGCCGCCTCCCAGAGAAGCGCCGTGTGCGGGGCGAGCCCGGCCCCACCGGGCCCGAGCGAACCGGCAGCGCCCCGACGGGCCGAGGATGGCAGCGCGGGGCTTTCAAACACGGCGGGAGCTGCGAGGCGGTGTCCCGGCCCCGGACTGCCCCGGACCCGCCTCTCCCCGCCCGGGCGGGCTCTGCATCCCCGCCGGTGCCGGCTGCCCCCCGCGCGGAGCGGGTTTGCTGCTTTCCCTTTTGTTTCTGGGTTCCAATTTATGCCTTCCCCGCTTTTTACATTTTTTTTTTCGTGAAAGAGAGCGGGGGCGGCGTGTCCAGGCGGGGGATGCTGCGGGCTCCGGGGCGGGCCTGGGTCATCCCCGCGCCAGCCGCGGCTCTCGGGGCTGTGAGTGGCCCCGGCACGCCCGGTCCCGTCCATCCGCCCGTCCCCTCCCCGCTCCGGCCGGGCTCAGCCCGCTGGGACGGGGACAGGGGCGCTGACACCTCCCCGGAGCGGCGGCTCCCGACGGGCAGCAAAGCGCGAAGGAAAGAGAAACCTCGTCCCTCCGCACCGCCCCGGTACCGACCGGCCCCTGGAAGGTAAAAGCGAGTTAATTTTTATTTACCAAAAAAGTAAAAAATAAAGAAGGTACACGGCGGTGCCGGTGCTCCTCGGCCCCGGACGTGCGCTGCCCGCGCCGGTAACGGAACCGCGGCGAAGTTACGGCGCCTCCGCCGCGCCCTCGGCGCTCCGGTGGCCCCGGGCCCGCCGCCCCCTCCCCACCGGGGCGGCCCCGCCGGAGCGTCCCGGGCCGCGGTGCCGGCCCCGCCGCACGGCTCCTCCCGGGAACCGCGGCCCGCCTCGGGCTTCCCTTCCTTCTCCCCGCGCCCTCGGGGGAGCCGGGCCGGAGCGGGGTCTCGCTTGTCGCCGGTGCCCAGCCAGGCGCTGCTCCGGCCACCGGCTCGCTGTGACGGATCCGTGACCCCGCGGGGGTGCCAGACCGCGCCGAGCGCGCCGTGCCCGCGTCCGTGCTCCCTCACACCTACCGCGGCGTCGCGCTCGGGGGCCGGTCGGTGTGTCTGTCGGTGTGCCGGTGTGTATGTCGGTGTGTCAGTCGGTCGGTCGGTGCCTCCGCCCGGCCGGGCCTGCGCTCCGCCAACGCCGGGCCATGCCACGCCGGGGACACGGGCGGCCGCCGCGGGTAGCGATGCGCGGGGGTAGGACGGACTGACGGACAGACTGACGGACGGAGCCGGCGCGACGTCGAGGGAGAGAGAACGAGAAGAGAGAGAGAGGAGAGGAGCGGCGGAGCGTGTCCCCGGCCCCGCGTGTCCCCGTCCCCGCGCCAGGACGCGCAGGGCGATGTCGCCGCGGCAGCAGCCACAGCCCGTCTGACCGCCACCGCCTCTCCATGTCCCGGCTCGTTATTTATTATTATTATTATTGTTGTTGTTGTTGTTATATTTTTTCTTCCTTTGATTTCTCATTGGGAAAAGCACTTTGACTCCTGACTGCTCTACCTCAGACCTTAGAAAAACTCATCACGCTCGCTTTTTTGGCGGTTTTATTTTTAATTTTTTTAATTTTTATTTTTCTGAGGGCCGATCTTTATAGCCGTTACTGTTTTATTGTTACTATTATTATTACTATTATTATTATTATTATCCGTGTGGTTGGCGGCGGCCGGGATCCTGCGGCTGTGTCGAAGCGCTGGGCAGTGAGGGGCTCTCCTGTGTACCCCTTCTAGGACACTCGAACGAAGATTTTTTTCTTCTGCCTCCCTTTCTTTTTATCCTTCTTCACTTCTCCAAGGCTTTTAAAAGATACATACACAAAATCAAGAAAAAAAAAAGAAAAAACAAACAAAACAAAAACCAAACCTTCGCCGGTGTTGTCGTCTTTCTAAAAAAAAAAGAATTGTTGTTTTTATTTATTTTTTTCCTTGATACCTGGGAAACCGCTGCCCCCCTCAGAACTAACCAAAGACAATGGTTCACTGTGCAGGCTGCAAAAGGCCGATCTTGGACCGGTTTTTGTTGAATGTACTGGACAGGGCTTGGCATGTGAAGTGTGTTCAGTGCTGTGAATGTAAATGCAATTTGACAGAGAAATGCTTTTCGCGAGAAGGCAAGCTTTACTGCAAAAACGACTTCTTTCGGTGAGTACCGCGCCTGCCCCCGCCGCTCCTCTCCGTTCGTTTTCCACCTCCATTTTTTCCCTTTATTTTTGTTGTTTCCCCCGCTGTCAGCGGGACCCGCGATTGCCTCTTCCCTCCCCGCGACACGCGAACATCTCAAACCGCGGCTGCTCTCCCGGTGCTCCCGGGGCGGGGGTCGGGCCCGGGCTCGTTGATGTCGCCGCTCTCCGCGTCCCCGGCCGAGCTCGAGTTGCCCAAAGTTCCCTCCAAACTATCGACCGGGGGAGCGCGGGCACCGTCCGGGCCCGGGGCAGCGGAGCGGGGCTGACCCCGCCGGACCCGCGGCCGTGAGCCCGGCGATGTTCCCGGCCGTGAGCCCGCCGCTGTTCCCGGTGCCGCCGGCGGGGAAGGCGCGCTGCGGGCGCTCGGCGGGCCCAGCGCATCCCGGGCACCGGAGCCAGGCCGGCCCGAGGGCAGCGACCCTTCGCCGGTGGATGGATGCAGGGATGGATGGATGCAGGGATGGATGGATGCAGGGATGGATGGATGGATGGAGAGGGAAGCGGTGACCGACCCTCGCTCGCTGCCGCTCTCCCCGCGCGTCCCGGCATCAATCCCGGGCTCGGAGCGGCCGCCGGTGCCGCTGCCCCGCCGGGCCCCGCCGCCGCACACCGGCCACAGGGCAAGGACCGGCTCGGGGCCGGGAGGCCGCGGAGCCCCCGCCGCACGCCGGCACAGCGCCCAGCCCGAGCCCCGCTGCCGCTTCTCCCTGGGCACGGGGACGGGCACTGCTCCGAGCCCCACCGCTCCTCCCGAGAACGGGCTCGGCCTGCTCCGCTCCCGGTTCCCAGAGCCCGCGGGGCACGGGAGGCCTCTGGCCCCGGTGCGGGGCCGGCCCCGCCGTCCCCCGGCTCTCCGCGCCCGCCTTGCCCGCACCGGCGTCTCCTCCGGCCGGGGCCGGTACCGGCGCACGGAACGGGTGGAATTCCTGCGGGCTGCTTGTCAGAGCCCCGCGACGCCGCTGTCGGGCGCGGGGACACCCGGGCAGCGCAGCAGCCGCGGCGTTCGGCGGGCCCCAGCACGGTCCCGCTGCCCGGGTTTGATTTTTATTTTTAAACGCTGTGACATCGGGGGCACAGCGCGCTGTGCAGGGATGCTGTCGGTGCCTCAGCCCCGCCGGCCGCGGCCGAGCAGGGCGCGCGGAGGCCGCGGCGCGGGCCGCGCTCGGCGGGCGCTGCTGAGCGCTGCCCGGCCTCTCCCCGCAGGTGTTTCGGGACCAAGTGCGCGGGCTGTGCCCAGGGCATCTCCCCCAGCGACCTGGTCCGCAGGGCGCGGAGCAAAGTGTTCCACTTGAACTGTTTTACGTGTATGATGTGTAACAAGCAACTCTCCACCGGCGAGGAGCTCTACATCATAGACGAGAACAAGTTTGTCTGCAAAGAAGATTACCTAAATAACAGCAATACTGCCAAAGAAAACAGCCTGCATTCAGGTGAGGGGGTGAGGGCGGGGATGCGCTCAGCACCGGCTGCTCCTCGGGAAGAGACGCTCCTCTCCTTCCTCCTTCTGTTCTTTCTCCTGTCATTTCCTTTCTGCTCTCCCTCCTATCTCTGCTCTCCTCTCCCTTGTCTTCTTCCTCCTCTCTCTTCTCCCTTCTCTCTCCTATCCCTCTTTTTCCCTCTCCTTCTTGTCTCACTTCTTTTTTTTCTCCTTCCCTTTTTCGTCTCCCTCCTTTCTCCTCTCCCCCGCTCCCACCGCGGCCCGAACCTCGCGGTCGGAATTCCCCCCGGCTGAGCGTGACCCGGGTTTGTTCTCCGCAGCCACCACCGGCAGTGACCCCAGCCTGTCCCCCGACTCTCAAGACCCCTCCCAGGACGACGCCAAGGACTCGGAAAGCGCCAACGTGTCTGACAAGGAGACGGGGAGCAACGAAAACGACGACCAGAACCTGGGGGCCAAGCGGCGGGGACCCCGCACCACCATCAAAGCCAAACAGCTAGAGACTCTGAAAGCCGCCTTCGCGGCCACCCCAAAACCCACCCGGCACATCAGGGAGCAGCTGGCACAGGAGACCGGCCTCAACATGCGGGTCATCCAGGTACCGCCGCCCCGGGCACCGGGCACGGCTCCGGGGGATGCGGGGGCGAGGAGGGGCCGGTGCCCGGCACCCTCCGCGCTGCGGGGACCGGGGAAGCCCCGCCGGCCTTTGAAATCGTTATTGCCGGGGCTTCCCGGGGCTTCCCGGTTCCCCAGCCCCGGCCGGTCGGCGGGGACAGAGCCGCGGGTTTGTTCGCCAAAAGTCCTCAAGAAGCTGCAAACAGTATCGAAATTAATAACCAGAAATGTGAGGGGTTAATGGGTAAATAAGAATGACAACGCGCTGGAATTATTAAAAGGTTTATAAACCCGCAGCGCTGGGGTAATGGGGGGTTAAAGGACCATTAAAGATGAGGTTAGATTGGAGAGGCTCAGTGTGAGGGTAATTAGCAGTAATCTTGTCAGGGTAATAAGAATTAACTCAATCATTCTTGACCCGCAGTCGGTGGGGAGCGGGGCCGCCGTCACGCGTGGGTTCGGCCGCGCTCGGAGCGCGAGAAAAACCGGGAAAAGGGAAAAGCGCAGCCCCGGGATGGGGATGGAGAGGGGATGGAGGGGAAGGGGGAGCGCGGCCGCTCTCGGGCTCCCGTGACCGGCGCCTCTCCCGCCGCCCCGCCAGGTGTGGTTCCAGAACCGGCGCTCCAAGGAGCGGCGGATGAAGCAGCTGAGCGCGCTGGGCGCCCGGCGACACGCGTTCTTCCGCAGCCCGCGCAGGATGCGGCCGCTCGTGGACCGGCTGGAGCCCGGCGAGCTCATCCCCAACGGGCCCTTCTCCTTCTACGGAGGTGGGTACCGCTGCCCCTCTCTCTCCGTGCCGGCTCCGGGCGGCTCTGGCCCCGGGGCCGTTCCGCCCGGCTCCCGCCGCCCATCGCGGCGCTCCCGCAGCCGGCGGGATCCCGGCGTTCTCCCGCTGTTCCCCGGTGTTTTCGGGAGCGCCGCTTTGTGTCGGGGTCCCCGCTGCTCGGCGGGAGGGGGTCCCGGGGCTGCCGGAGCCCGGTCACGCGTTCCCCTCGGGCTCGTGGGTGACACCCCGAGCGCGCCCGCGCCGTCCCCGCTCGGGTACCGGCCCGCCCGTCACCGTCCCTCTGTCTCTCTTTGTCCAGATTATCAGAGCGAGTATTACGGCCCTGGAAGCAATTACGATTTCTTCCCGCAAGGACCGCCTTCGTCTCAAGCGCAGACCCCCGTGGATCTCCCGTTCGTGCCCTCCTCGGGGCCGTCAGGGACCCCGCTGGGGGCCATGGACCACCCCCTGCCCGGACACCACCCCTCGAGTGAGGCTCAGCGCTTCACCGACATCATGTCGCACCCCCCGGGGGACTCGCCCAGCCCCGAACCCAACCTGCCCGGGTCCTTGCACTCCATGTCCGCAGAAGTTTTTGGCCCCAGCCCCCCATTTTCGTCGATATCCGTCAACGGTGGTGCTAACTACGGCAATCACTTGTCCCACCCTCCAGAGATGAACGAAGCAGCTGTCTGGTAGCTTTAAACAAACTGGGTCTAAGTAAGTGATGATCATCTAGTCTGCTTATTGTTATGGTGTACAGAAATGAATTCATATAACATCTCTCCCGCCCTAAGACAATTTTACCTTGGGAACGAACTGAATGCGATCGCTCCAAGGCAAGCTTTGCTCTAGACCAGGACAATCTCCATGTTATGGTTGTATCAAACAAGCAAGGGGACTTTTTTGTACCATTGACAAAGAAACTGGGGAAGCTGTACAGTAAAAGTGCTGCCATTCCGTAGGATGGCTAAGTTTGATTACCCTGTTGGATGTCATCCTAAGAGCCACAATCCTTAGAAACTTCTCGTTTAAAAAAAAAAAAAAATTAAAAAATAATTGAATGAAGGAGAGGTCAAAGAAAAGGGGAAAAAAAGCTTCAAGAACTCTCTATAGCGTTCCTGGTTAAGGATGGTTCTGGCATTATGAATCTGTTTGTTCATTTTTGTCTCTCAGAAAGTTCGACAACAAGAAACTCTTTTTAGCTTCAGCCATTTCAGCCTGCTGACGATCAGGTGGGACAACTTTTCCTTTTTCCTTTCTTTTTTTCTTTTCCGTTTTCTTTCAGTTGGTTTGGTTTGGTTTGGTTTGGTTTCTTTCCATCCCGAGCAAATACTAAATGTTAAGCCCTCAGCACCAACTCTGCTACCTTCACAAAGCTACACGTACAAAACCTCCTCATCATAGCAAAGGTCACCACCCAGACCTCTAACGAAAATGACTTGAAAAAACAAACAAACAAACAAAAAGTATTCTACCTTCACAGAGAGAGAAAAGCTAAACAAAAAGACTCTATTGAACTAAAAACAGTCAACTGTTTACGTCTAATGTTAAATTCAGGAGCTCAATGTTTTACTAATAAATCCTGTTTTAGAAAAACCTCTTGTTCAAAAGCAAAAGATTTTGAGCAGCCAACCAAAATAGTTCATTTTCTTTTCTGTAGATGTTCTAACAGATTGCAGGGCTTGTGGTTCACTGTGCTAGTTTGTAAAAGGTGTTGTTTACAGAAGGCAAAGAAAAAAAATCCACAAAACCCAGACAGTTGCCAAATAAAGTAAATATATAGCACAAATACTGTAAGGTGCTTTGCACCAGCAACCCGAGAAGGTGTTTAAAAAGTGTTACAAGGTTAAAAAGAAAAAAAAAAACAAACAAACATCTTTGCTAATTTTTAGTCCTGTTGAACATTCATGGAATTGTTAATATGACTTATATAGACCCACACAGGTTTTATTTTTGTGTCTTTAAAATAAAAGTCCAAAATATTTAAATTTTATGGTCAAATATGCAGTCAACAGCTGCTACTTTTTTCTTTATATATTAAATTTCTCATATGTCTTTTATTGTTCTAATGAACCTAAGCTTGTGTGACCTCCAGTGCATATTAGACCATTCACTGTATGAAAGAAAACATGTTGGATAAAATTTGTGCGTTTTTAATAAAATTAGAAAATCTGATGTTTAGATAACTTGTGTTTCATTTGATGTTTGAAGCAGTTTTTAGAAATTGATTCTCTTGAGTAAAATAGCCCTGAGAAGGAAGGATCCACTCTGCCAATCCTGGCAGCTCTTTGCCTCTGGTGGAAGTCTGAGCCCTGGTGTCGATGCAGACAGCGGCCAGAGGCAGCTCCAGCCTTTCTTTCCATCTTTGTTGAAGTCCAAATACCCTGTTCCACAGCATTTTAAATTTTAAAATTCCGAAAAAATCAAATTATTCAATATCTTCAGTTATTCGTGCTCTATGCCAAGAGAGAACATTCGAAATGCTGTTTTTATGCATAAACAAAACGTGTTGTAAATGTGAAATGCTTGCAAAGATACGGTTTGCAATTGATCCAGTTTTAGTTAATTCTTTGGAGATAATTTTACTTTTTTTCCTCCAAATTGGACGGTTTGGACACAGCATAACCTCAGTGTCCTGAAAGTAATTTGAATCCTTTTTCCTTGGAGCTGAGGCAGAGTCAGTGCTCGGGCGGCGTTTGGTCGTTCTGAAGTTCTCTCAAGGGCAGTGGGGGAGAATATTTGGCTTTGCCCTCGATGCAGCCTCATTCTCTTGGAGAAAAACGAAACAAAAAAAAAATCCCGGAGCCTTGCGAAATGCCAGATTCCACGTTTTAATTATCAACCGTGGCAGAATGATGAATATTCAGTTGTCCAGAAGCAAAAGTGCCGCTGATTCCGAGAGGAGCCGGAGCTGAGCTGGGCACAAAGAGTCAGGTTCGGTTCTGCTGCGGGTGTTGCACCCGCTGGGATAATGGCAGGGATGAGCTGGGATCGCTTCTCCTCCTTCTCCTCTCACCGGGCTCGCTGCCTTCGCTCTCATTTGGTGTAGACACAGGATTTTGTGGTAAACCCCAGACTTCCCCGTGCCCGGTGATTCCATTATTTCTCTCTTCGGACTGGGGGTGGGAAAAGAACCAACTCCAAATGCTTTTGAGTTGTGTAATTTGTAATTTTCAATGGTGATTTTTGATTTTGTTCAATACCTAATTTCTATGCCCAGCAGAGGGGCCACCTAGATGAAGCAATAGTTCACTTTAAACACAAAATGTCTTATATAATAACAATATAAAAAACTATCTGCAAGGGATCTGTTAGTGTTTCTAAAAAAAAAATAATTCATGCTTTATTAAATACAGGGGAGACTTCTTAAACTCCTGGACTCCGTGTCTAACTCATTTGTTTGTCTTTTGTGCTATTGCCATGTTTTGTTGCTCTGGTTTGCATTTATATAAGTGGAGGAATGGGTGATTTATTTATTCCAAACTTCTACTTATCTGGGAAAGATAAATACTGCTGTTTGTGCTGCTGGGCTGGGCTGCTGCTTTATTGTTGAATCAATGGTTTTAAATGAGGGCTTCGCCAAATAGGTTTGTTTTGTAGGAAATTTTGAGCTTTCTTTCTTTCTTTCTTTCTTTCTTTCTTTCTTTCTTTCTTTCTCTCTCGGTCCTTGTACATTTTATTCTGTGTTCATTCAGGCAGCAACAAGGCTCGGTTTAGGGCCAGTGTTAGGCTCGGTTTAGGTTGTAAAAAGGAGAGTTTGTCTCTTTGTGATGCTCCCATCGCTTCCTGGGGCTTTGCTGGGCTTGGGGGATCCCAGGAGCCGTTCCCATGGCTGAGCCCGAGCCCCAGCCCGTGGAGATTGGAATTCTGCCCTCCTCAGAGCGAGCTCGGTGTGTCTGGAGCCCCTAATCCAGCAACAATTGCACAGGCAAACTCCTTTGAAAGCATGGGCACGTTGGGTTCTTGTAAGTCCTTGTTTACAAGAGCATTTCCATTGACTCCGGCAGCGTTCCCTGGGTGGGTGGGTGGAGGGATGGAGGGATGGATGGATGGATGATGGAGGGATGGACGGAGGGAGGGATGGAGGGAGGGAGGGATGGATGGATGGATGGATGGATGGACGGAGGAGCTCCCCGCTGTGGGAGAAGGGCCTGGAGCCAGCCCGGGCTCCTGCACTGCCTCTGCCGTGCAGAGCCCAGCTCCGTGTCCGTGCAGGGCCTCCCCAGGAGCCCTTTGGCAGTAACTGCTCTCTCTCGGTCTCTCCTGCTGCCCGAGGTGCCCTCGGGGCCGTGTCCCCGTGAGGGCAGCCGGTGGCACTGCCCCTCCCTGCCTGGCCTGAGGATCCGTGCACAGCCCCTGCCAGAGTGCTGCAGCCCCCGGAGAAGGGCTCCAGGCCGTGCTGTGAGTACTGTCCCTGTCCCTGGGCTGCTCTGTGGAGGGGAGCTCTGCAGGTTGATCAAAGTGTGGAAAATGCTGAGTTTCCAGCAGCCAAAGCCCTGCTTTCGGCCCCAGTGTCCCACGCTGTCCCCACCGAGGCTCCTCTCTGCCCAGTCCCTCCCTCCCCAGGCCCTGCTGGGATCTGTTTGCTTGGGGATGGAAAGGGATTTGGGGAGAACTGTATCCCAGGAATAAGGATGGGCTTAAATGATAATTTGTAGAGAAATTATTTGTAATATTTTAATGTCTGTACCCAGGTGCTGAGCAATGGGTACAGGATACAAATTGAGAAATAAATATCATTTTAAAATATCAGTGGTGATTGACATAGTTTTGCCATCCTGGGAAGTGGCAGATATTGCAGTGTCCTCTCAGGAATGGTTCCTTTTGCTTAGTCTGGATTTTTATCTTGAATAACTGTGTTTTCTTTAAGCTTTGCATGTTCTCACAATATGAAATGGAAGCATTTGCAATCCCCCTTTCTGTTCCTACCCCTAACAGATAAATTCACATCTGCTAAGGTTAAACAATTGATAGAAATCCTTCTATGCTGGCGAGCTGGGAACAAGGAATTGTGATGCTGGAGCAGTTTTGGGAGATCCTTTCTTTGTCTCTGCCATGGCACTGGGGTGCTCAGCATTCCTCATGCCAACAAAACACCCCTGAAGTTATAAATGGAATTAGTGTGTCCATTAAAATATGTTTTAATTATAAATCTGGGATTTGTTTATTTGTTGGTAGTACTCGTGGTGGTTTAGCTACAGAGCTTGGAAAGCAGAGTTTGATGTGAGAGTTGCTCAGTCATTAAATGCAGAATTGTAATGAAAGAATTGGAGAGGAAATGTGGCCTTGTGGTGAGGTGGCCTCCAAATTCCTAATTCCACATCCCTGGGGTTGCTGGAGCTGTGGGGTGTCCTTGGGGTGTTTTCAGGGTGTCCCTGCAGGGCTGTTCCCGTTGGCACGGGGATCACAGTTGTTGTTTTTGTTGGCATGCCGTGGTTTTGTTGTGGGAACATCCCTCGGTGACACTGCTGGGACACGGGTGTGACTGGGCTCTCCTTCAGCTTCTGCTCCAGGGTGTCACCAAACCCAGGACAGCTCTGCCTCGGGGCCATTTGGGCACTGCTCACTCTGGAAAATCTAAGAATTAGGGGCATTTTTGGTGCCTGGTTGTACTCCAAGCTCCCTTCCTGAGGAATGTGAGCCTGCTCGGGCTGCTGGGATCCCACGTGGCCGGAGGAAATCCTGGCCCAGCTCTGCAGGGCAGGGTGAGAATCGTGGCACAGCACAGAGCCTGGGCTGGAAAAGCTCCCCTGGCTGGAAAAGCTCCCCTGGCTGGGTGGGAGGAATTCCCAGGGCCTGGGGGGGATTCTGGGGTGAAGCCTCACACAATTCCCCAGTGCCTGTCTGTGTGCTGGCATGGCTGTGCACAGGACAGCACAAGCATGGTTGGCTGGAAAATCAGACATTTTGCTCCTTCTAAAACCAGTTTTTGTCTAGTTTTTAGATTGTCTTTGGGTGGCCTTTAAAATTCTTATCTGCTGTAAGGATCTTTGGGCTGTGCATCTCTTCAGACACACTCTGTTCCTTCTATTTTTCAATGTAGGAACCATTAAGGGTTGATAAAATCTTTAAAGCAATTGTGTTTTTTGAATGAGGGATGGGTTAGGAATAGCAGAAGTACTCAAGTAAATAAAAGCACAGAAGAAAAATACTAATAAATATTTATAAGGAGAGTTTTTTATGTACATAATCTAAATTTTATGTAATTTGTTTTAGTGGATGGGGTTTCCTTGTGTTCTTCTCTGTTTCTCCCTAGTTCTTTTCACTTCTTTTTTCTCTCCTTTTCATGGACAAATTGTGTTGCTGGTTTAAAAAGAATATTTTAACTGAACTAGCATGACTGAAACGATAAAGGTCAGTTTGGAAAAGGACATTTGCTCGCCCAAGCGTTGGCAAGACCAGCCCCAGCTCGTGGCTATTTTTGGCCAGCACGAGGCCCTCTGTATATGGGTCAAATTTTGCTCTTGATGAAGTAAGTCAATTAAATTCAGCAGAGGCGACTCCAGGGCGGGTAATTCCCTGGATCTGGTGGGAATGCCGTTGGGAATGGTTGGAATGGGTTCTGCAGCCCCTGGGTTCCCTTGCTGGCAGTGCCCAGGGGCTCCACGCTTCCACCCCGGCCCGTTCCTGCCTTCTGCTGAGGGAATGGCTCTGAAAGATGGATTTGTATGAACAACCTGTAATTATACAGCCAGGGAGGATGGCACAGCCCTTCCCTTCCATCTCATCCGACAATTTCCCAAAAGCTGGCGAGCTCCACGGGCGCGGCAGCGAGAGACGCTGAGTGGGAGAAACTGGAAGCTGCTTTCACAGCCCAGCCTCTTCCACCTCCCCGTGTTTATCTGCTCTGTGTTTGGGCTGTTATTCCCATCCCAGCAAACAGGCACGTGTATAAAAAAGTAAAATTAAGAGGGAAAATGCCAAAGAGATGATGTCAGTGAGGCTGATGGAGTTTCTAAACAGGCCAAGGGTTTCTCTGAACCCACCGTGAGGCATAAAAAGCCTTTCATGAGCATCTTAAATGAAAATGTATCGATACAGTTTTTGTACAAATATTCCCTGCTCTGTTCTGAGTCCCAGGCACGGCAGCATGGTTGGAGGGCATGTGAACCAGAAATTAAAACCCAGCCCCGGAGTCTGATTTAATTACCCTGCTAAGTGAAAGGCAGAGGAGAGAGAATAAACAGCGGCAGAGGCGACTCTGTGGGTGAAATATTTTAACAACCCCCGACTCTCACAGGCTGCCGTCGCCGTTTGATGTGGCTTTCTATTGACTGCATCTCCTCCTGAAAAATGGCGAATGAACAGGTGCTGCGGCTGCGGAGCGAGGGGGGTGACCCGGCGGTGAGGGGTCCCCCACACCTGAGCACGCTTTTGGTTCTGCACGGCCGGGAGTGATGGATGTGGCACAGAGGAGGAGCTCTGCCAGCACCCCGGAGTTTGCAGCTGTCTGGCCTGGGCTGGAATGCATTGCTGCCCTTGGGATTTATATGGAGCAATTGTCCCATTAGTCTCAGTGGGTGAAATCCTGATCTCAGTGGCCCGAGCATCAGAAACGCTGTGACTTCAAGAGGCTCATTTTTTACTCCAAAGGACTAATGCAACTCACTTGTATTTTTTTATTAATTCTGCTGGGTCTGTTTTATTTAACCATCACTAAAAGCCTCTCTCCCTTCATTAACAGGGCAATTCATTATTTGTGAGGGTAGAGAACATCCCTTTTTCACTCTAAGAGTGCAGAGGTTTGAAAGTGCAATTATGCAGGGGAGTCTTGGCACCAGTTCTTTGGTTGTGCGAGTGGTTAGTTACTCAGAAGTAACTGCACAGGTAAGCACTTGTTCCTGCTACTTAATTTTCCACGGATTTATTTCTCCAGGCTCCTCCCTTTGTTTATGGTGGCATCTGGGAACAAAACACCAACAAACTCAAAGGCAAAAAAAGGAAAACCTAGAAGCAAAGCCAGGGAAGATACACTGTGCATGTCTCCTGGTGTATAAGTTTCCTGTTTTTTTCAAACCATGTCTTTGTAAATAAATAAACAAATAAAAATCAGTGTTTAATTTTTCATTGCTGGAGCAGGGGTACTCCCCCACCATCGGCTATGCAGAGCATTAGAGCCATCCATCTGCCGTGATAAAATAAAAACAAACTACAAAACCGAGTTGGATTTTATGCTGTTGGGTATTCTAAAGCTTGGGGAGGTTCGCTGTGAAAATGTGCGTTTTCAGTAAACACTGAGTTTTCTATAAAAACACTGAGTTTTCTATAAAACCTTTATTTTCTCATCCAGGTGCCCAGTGTCAGGGAGGTGGCAGCGGGGCCGGGAAGGGGAGGGCGATGTCTGGGCTTTTCCAGCCGCTCCCTCTCGGTGCCTGCCAGGTTTGTGCCGGCTGTGGGAGCCCGGCGCAGGCGATGGGAATTCCTGATATTCCTCTGCCCTCTGTAGGAGAAGCGCCCGCATGAGCCGTGCTGCGGGATGGATCCGGCTCCGTCCTCCCAGCGCCAGCCACCTCCTGCTCGTTTTTATGGCGTTTAAAAGCACCTCGGGGGCAGGCAGGACAAGAAGGGGACGAGCATCAGTTCCTCAGGTTCACCTTTGCAGGTGACACCGCAGCGCTGGGTGTGGAAAACCCGAATGTGGAGCTCCTTGTGGGGTCTGGAGCTCCTTGTGGGGTCTGGAGCTCAGAGCTCCATCTGCAGCTCACATTGGAGAGGCTGAGTGGGGACGCTGCTCCCCAGAACAAAATCCATGCCAGCCTCCCCAATTCCAGGCAATTCCTGGAGTTCCGGAGCAGGGAAAGGGGCCGGGAGAGGCTGGCAGAGGGCAAGCCCAGAGAATGTGTCCCTGCTAATGCTCTCTGCAGGCCACGTCTGCATCGCTGGCGGCTGCTCCTCTGCCAGAGCGTGATCCCAGCAGCCAAAATCCCCAAATTCCCTGTGGCTGGTGTAACTTGGGTGTAACTCAGGTGTAATTCACGTGTAACTCAGGTGTAATTCAGGTGTAACTCACTCAGGTGTAAGGATGTATCTGCGTGCGAGGCCTGGCCTGAGAGCCCAGCTCCGGGCCCTCAGCGCTGTGAGGGGGACTCCAGCAGAGGCCGCAGAATATTTAACACAGAACAGGAGGAGAATTAATTCAGTTCTGCACAGCAGGAGAGGCAGAGAAAGTTTGACGTTGATTTAAAGCAATAGTTGTCATATTGTGCATTATTAATGGCGCTTTGCTGCGGTGCTGCCGCTGTGGGATCCGCTACCGTGAGCCCCGGTTCTCTCAGCCCTGCTGCCCGCAAGGGCTGCCGCTGCCCCGGTGAGGACGGGGGGCTCGGGGGGCTCCCGGTGTGATCCCAGGATCGTTCCCGGTTGGATCCCGGCTGGATCCCGGGCTCATTCCCTGTGGGATCCCGGTGTGGCCCTGAGATCGTTCCCAGTTGGATCCTGGGATCATTCCCTGTGGGATCCCCTTGGGATCCCGGGTTTATTCCTGGTTAGATCCCACGCTCATTCCCAGTTGGATCCCGGGTTTATTCCTGGTTAGATCCCACGCTCATTCCCAGTTGGATCCCGGGTTTATTCCCGGTTGGATCCCAGGTTTATTCCCAGTTGGATCCCAGGATCGTTCCCGGTTGCATCTTGGGTTTATTCCCAGTTGGATCCTGGGTTTATTCCCGGTTGGATCCCGGGCTCATTCCCGGTTGGATCCCGGGTTTATTCCTGGTTTGATCCCAGGCTCATTCCCGGTTGCATCTCGGGCTTATTCCCGGTTGGATCCCGGGTTTATTCCCGGTTGGATCCCGGGCTCATACCCGGTTTGATCCCGGGTTTATTCCCGGTTGGATCCCGGGTTTATTCTCGGTTGGATCCCAGGCTCATTCCCGGTTGGATCCCGGGTTTATTCCCGGTTGGATCCCGGGTTTATTCCCGGTTTGATCCCAGGCTCATTCCCGGTTGCATCTCGGGCTCGGCCCGGGCGCTGCGGAGCGCTGGCGGAGCGGCCGCACGTGGCGCCGCGGCGGCGGGGAGGGTCCGTGCCCCCGGCCCGGGGGGTCTGAGGGGTCGGGGCTGGTCGGGGCTGGGGGTTACCAACGCGATGGGGCTCATCGAGCCACCTGTGGGGTCGGGGATGTGTCCGGGGCCACCCCCGGGGTCGGGCCGTGTTAGGCCTGGCCTGGTTCTTTCCTGCAGTCTGTGAGTAGTGTATTATAAGAAATGTCTTAATAATTAAGGAAGTTATCGTGGTCAGCAGAGGCGTTTTCCCATTTTAGTAACCATAATTTTGTTCCAGGCTGCACAGAATCCCAGGCTGGTTTGGGTTTGGGGCCTCGGAGCCCACCCGGTGCCACCCGTGCCGTGGCAGGGACACCTCGCACTGTCCCGGCTGCTCCAAACCCGTCCAGCCTGGCCCGGGACACTGCCAGGGGCAGCCCGAGCTGCTCCGGGGAGAGCTCCATCCTGTGGTGCCAGGACTGAGGGCTGCAGGGGTGGCTGGGTCATCTGCCCAGCCCCTCCTTGCTGCCCAGCGTTTGCCATCCTCTGCTGCCTGCACTGACTGGGCTTTGTGCTCTGGTTATGAGCAGGAGGGTTTTGCCCCCCTCTGCCTCTCACAAACACTCCAAGCCAGGCATTAACATTTCCAAGCACACACTCAGGGATCTGAGCCCTCGTTGCCCTCAGAGCTGGGCTGGAATTTGGCACAGGGTGCCTTGCCCATGCGTGCAAGCAGGGATGGTGGGGTGTGTGTGTGAGCTCTGCTCTGCTCTGTGTCCTGGAGGACGTGGGGCTGAAGGAGGGCAACAACCACAGGGAAATGATTTCCTCTGGTGAGCTTTTCTGAAATGTTTATGTCTTTATGTGGTTTGTACATATAGCAAGAGCCAGAGTGCCTCTGAATTGGATTTTCCTCTTATCCTGCCAGCATGAAGTGAGTGAAGGCATTGAGGCTTTGCAGAGTGCTCCACATGAAGGGCTCAGAGACCCTCCTGCATCCTTGGGAGGGCTTGGATGGGCTTAGTTCCTGTTCTGCTTCATGCAGGAGCCTTTCCCCCTTGCAGGAAATTATTTTTGTGCCTTTCCTGCACTTCCCAAAGTCCCTGTTCCCCTGTGCAGTGCATGAGGAGCTTCCCAGGGCTCCTTCCAGCCTGGAGTTCAGCTCAGTTTCAGACACTTTTCCCCCTTTTTCCCCCCCACAGCTACAGTTGCTAAAGTGATTGACAGGTTTGAGGATGAAGCCACGGATGAGCTTTTGCCTGTTGGTAACATCAGGAAAAGAGCTTCAGCCTCTCTCCTGGAAGCTGATCAGAGGTACAGTGGCAAAGCCACGTCTCGGAGAGCTCTGCAGGAGGAGCTCTGGGGAGATGCTCTGTCTGAAGAAGGATCTGGTAAGAAATCTCTTCCTTTTTTCCCCCTTTTTGCTGGCAGACCATGATGTCAGCACGTGGCTGAGCATGGCAAAGCTCAGGGCCCTGTCACAGGGCAAGGAGCAGCTGCAGTTCAGCTGGACATCAGATAGCCCAGACCTGGGCTGGTGCTGGTGAGCTTTTCTGCTAAATAAATGACTTTTTTCTCTCATTTACCAGCTGCAGAAGCCCTGGATGACTGGTACAGCGGCAGTGAAGGCTCAGAAGAGGAGGACACCAAGGGCAGGGAGGAGGCCAGCAGTGCTGGCAGTGAGCAGGAGGATGGCTTGCAGCATGATGCAGAGGCCAAGGCACCACAGTTCAGCTCCCAGAGTATCACAGACTTTGAGAAGTTCACAGAGGGCATGGACGATGCAGGCAGCAGTGAAGGGGAGGATGAAGATGAGGATGAGGATGAAGATGACGGTGACATGGAAGAAGGAAGTGATGAGGAGGAGGGATTTGGGAGTGAAAACCACGATGATGGAAAAGAAGCCAAAGGCACTGAAGATGATGGGGGAGTGCTGACCTTCTCCAGAGGACAGGAGTCTGAAGAGGTGGAGAAGGGCAGAGCTGTGAGGAACCAGCTAGGTTTGTGCACGTTTGCTGTGTCTGCTGGCACTGTGCAGCCAGCCTGAGCCCTCAGCCTGGTGCATACTGCAGCAGCCCCCTGTGTGTGCAGATGTTCTGCCAGATGTTCTGGTGTCACTGCTGCTGTAACAGCTCCTGCTGGGAAGTGCATTTATCCATCAGCTTTACTGAGCCAGTGCTGAATGTCCTCGTGGGACCCCTGGGTTTGGGAGCTCCTGCACTGCTCCTGCTGGGATCACTTTGTTTCTTTCCAAAGCGTAACTCCCAAAATGCCATTTCTTCCTGTCTGAGCTGTTAAACTATCAAACTTTGAAACAGTAAAGCAAAGGGGTGGTTTGGCCTGTGGGTCACAGAGTTTCAGCTGGGATTTGCTTTGTCCAGAGCTTTGTGGCACCCATTTTGTGCTGGCCAGTGCATGCCAAGGCTGCCCTGGGCAGGAGGAGTGCAGCCAGAGGAGGGGGCCTGAGCTGTCAGGTCTTTCACCAGGAATAAATGCTTTGTGTTGCTAACTGATTCTTTTCTTTCCTTTTTGTTTGAAGCCCTGTGGGATCAGCTGATGGAAGGGAGGATCAAGATGCAGAAGGTGCTCCTGACAGCCAACAGGCTGCCCCAGCCAGACACCTACCCCAGGTTCAGGGAGGAGGGGGGACAGGACTTTGACCACGCTGTGGAGAACTGTAAGAGCCTTTTTTTTAATCTTTCTCCTTTGCTCAGACTCTTTTAAACAATTGCTCATTGCTGTTCAGTGCAGAGCTGGGCTGCTTTGTCCAGAGACACCTTGTACCAGTTTTGTGCTGAATGCAGAGGTTTGCCCAGAGCAGGACAAGACAGCCCAAAGGAGGGGCTGGGCAGGTGAATTCCAGCATGGAGCTGCTCCCTCTGTTCATTCCTGAGTCACTGCTAATGACACTGTTGAGATCTGTGGTAGATTCTCCAATATGAAATCATAACATGCAGGCTGCAGTGGGTGAGTGCAAGGTACTGAGTTTCAGTGTGGGTCTGTTCAGTTTTTATATTTGCACACCTTTTTTCTGGCCTTGAGGTGAATGCACAGGGAGAGAGATGTCTGGGCCATCAGACAAACCCTGAACCTTGGTCCTGCAGCAAGTTTGGGCTGTGCTCCTCTGCCTTGGGCAGGGCAGTCAGCCTACCTGCAGTTACAGGTGAGCTGCTTTCTGCTTTAAAGTTGGCTCTGGGCTTGAAATGAAGTGATTAAGGACAAAAAGGCAAACTCCCACCAAGGCTGTGCTGACCTTTCAGTGGAGCACACGTTATTAATGTCCTTAATGAGATGCATTACAAGCTGCCCCAGCTCCATGTTTCATTACAGGTCTAAGATGCAATATCATTAAAGACCTTTAACAGAAACAATGGTTGACATTTTGGTATTTCCCATAAGCAAAATACACCCAAGAGCATGGAGTGTAATGTCCCCAGTGCTGCAGAGGCTGATCCCTCAGCTCTGAGGGAAACTGCAGTGCCAAGAAGTGCTGAATGGTCCCCTGCTGACCTTCTCCTCATCATCTGGGCAGGGAGGTCACTCTGATGCTCCTCAGACCTTGGGTTTGTGTTCTGTGGGTCACCTCTGAGGACAGAACACAGCTGGAGTGACATGGGCAGTGTTAGCAGAGGAAATCTCAGGCTGACAGATGGGAAATACTGAGTTTAGGAACATTCTACCACTGCTGCTGCACTTCAGCCTTGGGCAGGATTGGGGATCATCATGGCATGGGCACTGCATGATGCTCTCCTTTCAGGGCAGCCTCAGCACTTCTGTCCAAGCCCAACAAATAAATCTGGCATGGTTTCATCATCCTCATTGAACAGGAGGCAATGATTTGGTGTTCCAGTTGCACAAAATAGTTGGTGCCAGAATCCCAGACTCTGGGTGAACCCTGCAGGATGCTGAAGTCAGGAGGCTCCCAGTGCTCTCAGAGCTCCTGGACAAGAGTGTTTCCAGTCATTTTCCCCAAGTCTTTCCATTTCTCGTGAAATTTCTGCTCTGTGCTCAGAGGAAGATTGAATTTTTTGAATTGGAAAATGGTCCTTTGTGTATTTTCCCCTTGGGTATCTCCTACTCAGGACAGCCCTGTTGTGGTGCTGGAATTCCCTAGGGGCTGGAGTGTAATTGTGTTAAAGAGTAGACAGCAATTCTCCATCCATTTGCAATTTTAAAGCCAAATCTGGGTGAAAATGGCAAGGTCATGCTCATTTTCCAGATTTTGAGACCGGAGGTTACAATACCTAAAATGTTTAATTTATTATTTTTGTAATCTTTTATGATTTTTTTTTCCTTTTGAATGTTACAACATGCTTTGGACAACCTTAGATTCCTGAGATCTCAGGTTCTGGTAGATGATTTACTGCAAAATTGCTTATAAATTGAAGTAGAAAATGTTTTGCAGACCTGGCAGCTTTCAGGCTTCACACCCATTTGTCACCCAGCATTTCCCTTTGTGTATAGAACAAGAATTAATTAGGCTGCACTGCAGGAAAAGTTTATGGCCATAATTTATATAGGATGAATTTCTGTTTAAAGAGACAGCATTGCTTTGTTTGTGCTGTCTTACTTTTTATTTCCCTTTTTTTTAATCTTTAATTATATTCCAGATTTTTTTTTCTGTCACCCTTTTTCCATACAAATGGGAGACCAAACTGTGGTCATGGAGCTCATATTTATTCCTGTTTTGCACCCAAGTGTGGATGGTTTTCAGTGCTGAGATCAGAGTGGCTGGGCTCTGAAAGCAGCACAAATGTCCAGAGTTTATTGCCCTGCACACACAAACCCTCCCAGCTCAGTTCCAAGGTGCTGGGCTGTTCTTCCAGCCCAGATTTGTATTCCCCTGCACTGCATCTTCCAGCCTGGTCCAGGCCTTGAGATGTTGCCTCTGTTTGGGGTCTTGCACGTTCAATTAATGTTTTTCATAATCAATGCGAGTCAGAATTTGCAATCTGCTCCTGATTTGCACATTAAAGAGACCCATTAATTAAAAATTCCAATCCCTGGCATGTTCCCGCAGGATCCCTGCATTATTTACATAGAAAAGGAGTGCAAGGTGCAAGTTTCTGTGCTGTGCCTGTGCACAGATTGCAGGCCTGCCACTCATATTTCACTGTGCTGGGAGCTTGGAAGGGGGTCTCCTGAAATTGCCTCCAAAAATCCCCTCAAGGGATGTGTGCAGAACCAAAAGTGGGGACAGCAAATATTAGCTTATTTACACTTTGGAGAGCTGGGCTGAAGTTTCACCAGGGTTTGTGATCAGTAATAAAAGAAACCTGGATAAAGTGAATCAGATTTTTAAAAAACAAAACAACAAAAAAAAATCAAAAAAACCTATAGGGCTTTGTTGCCTTCTGGGAAATGCAGTTGTTGGATTTTTGTTCCTCAAACTTTGAGGGACCCAGAAATGGCTGTTTCTGGGGTGGAAATTTGTGGTTGAGTGTGCTGGGAAAGAACTGTGCTCCCTTCTGGAATAATTCCTGAGCTGGGCCCTGGCACAGCAGGTTGGGTTCCTGTCCCGTGGCAGATTCTGTGGCTTGGCACTAAGCACATTTACACCTCTCTCTCTGCTTCACACTGAGTCTTTTCATTTCCTTCTGGGTCAGTTCTGCAATATTTTGACATTTAAGATTCTGTTTAGTCTCAGTTACTGTATGAGTGTATGTTCTCAGTGTCTTTTTAATGAGGATTTTTGTTGGGCTCTCTTAATCCCAGTCTTTAAAATAATATTTTTACATCCTCCACAAGATCCAGATAAGCCATGTTGAAGACACTGATTAAGCAGGGACTAATTTGGGCTAAAATCCAGGGTGCTGTAGGTGCCAGAGAACCTGTTCCACTTCCTGGGAGAGAGGATGTGCCTGGCAAGGCCTTTCCCTCTCCCCTCACCTGGGTGGGAACAGCTCTGTGATGAATTGGGATTTACTGACACAGGCTTGGCATTTTTGAGGGAAGCCTGCAGGACTCAGCAGCCAAGAACTCCCTGGTAATTCTGTTCTCACCTCTATTCCTGGGTGGCTTTCAGAGCTCCAGTGTATCCACACCTCCATCTGGAGATGTTAATGCATTAATGCAGAGCAGGGTGAGTGTCACAGGGAGGGGGAGGAACTGAGGCACAGGCAGATTACACACTTTCCAGAGGCATAGAGCAGTTACAGGATTAATTGGTGCTAGGCAAGATCATGGACTTAAATATATTCCTGCTTTGAAGATTTTACTGGGAGCCTGCACAAATGTGTGACAGCAGAACTGGGTTTCAAGCCTGAGTGTAAATTATTGTGATCAGATCTAGCCCACTTAAAACTGGTAGTTCATTTTAATTGAATTGTGTTAGTCTGGACACTTTATGAATACAAAAAGCATCAGCCCTGTCAGTTCCTGCAGGACTGGATGTGATTGAAATGGATGTGGATGCAGGTGTCCCCAAATCCCACCTCTCCTCTGGGTGCAGGTGTCCCCAAATCCCACCTCTCCTCTGGGTGCAGGTGTCCCCAAATCCCACCTCTCCTCTGGGTGCAGGTGTCCCCAAATTCCTCCTCTCCTCTCTGATCTCATGGAGAATCTGTTCCACTCTTTTTGGGACTGAGCCAAAGCCTGCTGGCGTTATTGAAGACCCTTCTCTCAGCTGAAGGAAATGAAGGAATCAGATCCTTTTTTCTGAATTTTGTGGAATATGCCACAGAGAGCTTTTGGGGGGGAGTGGGCTCAGTGAGGATGAGCAGCTCCTGGGCCATCCTGGGTGTGCTGTGAGAGGAAGAGCCCTGGAGGGAGAGGCTCACTTTGGAGCTCTGTGGTTGCTGTGTGAGTTTAAGTCGGGTCACGAAGCCCAGATGTTGTGGACATGTGCAGAATTTGGGCTGTGAGAGGTACCAGGAAGGTATTTTGTGGTTTGTCATTACTGTCTGGGATTTGTTCAGGAATTCTGTGGGGGAGGTAGTGGAGAAATGCAGGGCTTTTATTTAACATGCAGTTTTGGGCTGTTTTCAGAGGAAAAGCTCTTGCCCTCCCTCACAGAGTGCCAAGGCTTTTGGCTGGTGGTATTCAGTATTTTTGAGCAGAATTGGTGTCTCCTTCTCATGGATGGGTGTGGTGAAATGATTTTATAGGTGATCTCCACAGCCATGTGTGTTGTTCATTGGTGATGCCTGAGGTTTATTTAAAATCTGCCTTAAATTACAACACACATGGTTTATTTAAAATCTGAGGTTTATTTAAAATCTGCCTTAAATTTTGGTGCAGGAAATGCTGGGACAGTCCCTGGCTGGTGACCTGGTCCAGCTGAACCCCAGCCCATGGGTTCAGCCCACTCTCAGACAGCTCTGCCTACACCTGAGTTTCTCAAGATTAATAGCTAATTAAACCAAATTTAGCTAAATATTTGTGCATGTTAGTCTGTGTACTGCACAAACAAGATGCAGGGAAACAAAGGCTTTAAAAGTGTCCAGACAAGCATGTGCAAATGTCAGCTAACTCGGATTAATTGGCAATTGGGTACCTTGAGATGGAAACTCAGGGCTTGTCATGATAAATATAATTAATGGCCTGGTATTATGTGGGGAGGTCAGTCTGGATGGGCTAATGTTCCCTTCTGGCCTTAATATCCAGATATAACTCTGAAATCTCCCATTTCCTCTTCCTTTCTCCTCCTTGCCCATGCACTTGGGGCCTCCAGGCTGGCAGAGGCAGGAATGTGTGCTGTCAGCTTCTTTGCATTTCCAGTAATGGAAAGCATCAGTTTTTATAAATCTCATTTTTGCCAGCCCCATCCCCTCCCTGGTTTGGGCTGATATCAAAAGATGATGGTTGAGGTGAATCAGCAGAGCATGAACTTCATGGAAGTGTTTCTTTCTCTCCTCCCCAGCTTTCCCCCTCCCCCAGTCCCCTCTAATAAACCCCTGAATACCCAGCTTTATTCTGTTGTTGAATCCAGTTATTTTCTTTACTTTTAGCAAACTCATCTGTGTCTGATCCTGTTGTCCTCCCTGTCAGGTGCAGTAATATTGGAGTGAAAGGGCTAAATTGAGGCTCTTCTGGAACTCTCTGGGAGTCAGCTGAAGCTCTGCTGTGGAAGGGGGGTGCAGCCCTGGCTCCTTTGTGCCCAGGGAATACAATTTTCCCCTCTGCAAAGGCTCTTGCATCATTTGCATTCCAATGGAACCAGCAAACTGGGCTTGGGTGTGGAGCAGACCTTTGCTGTCAGCAGCAAAGTCAACCCTTTTCCTCCTATCATTTGGTAAAATTCCCCAAACTCCCTTTTTTGGGAAGCACGAAGGGAGTGTTGCTCCCATCATTTCCTAAATTTGGATGGATTTCCCAGTGCTTTGTGCTGAAATCTCTGAGAAATGGGAATGTAACCACACCACCTGTAAAAAATCACCTTTAGCCTAACACTGAGTCTGGGCTGGCTCTTGGAGCTCCTGTCTGAGGCTTATCCCACAGAATTATTTCCTTCATTTCTGTGCCACGTTGCTTTGGGAGCCCAGTGTGCTCAGGGGGTGCCAGGCTGGAGCTGCTGCCATCCTCCCTGCCCCACCTTGCTCCTCCTGAGGTTCTTTCCACACTGGGAATTCCATCCAGGCTGCTGCCCACAGCCCCACGTCTGGCATGTGCCACCTGGAGGAACTCCCCCTCCTTTTCCTGGCTGGGAACGTGGTCCTGCTGCTGGGAATACAGAGCAAGCTCCAAAAGTAATACTGACAGGCTTCAGAATTATGATACACTGGAGCTGCGGCGTAATTCTTTGTTGAAGAAGTTAGAGGCCTAAAATGTTAAGGCTTATTGTTATTCCGAGTTGATAATCTCTGCCTTGCTTTAATAATTTTTCCTCATGCCTGGATAGCCTGCGAGTTGCACAATAATCACTCACACAGCTTTGTAATCAATGCCCAAAGTAATAGGATTCCGCTGGCCAACGGCAATTAATAAATTTGTGTCTTTTTTAAAACACTAGCAAGTCGGGCCTGAAATACGACTGACTGGCTTTCCTCATTTGCATATTTATTGCAGTGGAAAAATTCTTGCCGAATGATTGATGTTGAGCCTGCCTCTTGAATTCCAAACAGCACATTATTATGAAATGAAAAATGCCGGCCATACAGTTGATTAAAGTTGAAGACAGTGGAATCGGTGTTTTTTAAGATTGTGGGAGAATTAAAGGCATATTTTAATAGATGTTGACAAGAAGTGAACTAACAAAAGCAAAGCAAAGGATTTGCTTGAAAAGATTTAATCAAACGTGTTTGGTGGGGGATTAATTGCTGGGGATGACGAGTGCAAGTGGCTGGTGCTGGCTGTGAATGGGGAGCATTGTTCCGAGGCCAGCTCATCCAGGGCCATTTTGACCTGGAGTTTAACTCCTGTCCCACAGCCCTGGAAGGGAGGGAAGGTTCTCCCTCTCCATGGAGTGCTGGGATAAACCTGTGTGCCAGGTGGAGATCCTTCTCCTTGTGTGCAGCCATTCCAGTCAGGGGGTGGGATCCTCCTCTCCTCCTTTGGTTGCTGGGGTGGGGTCAGGGGGGCTCCTGGGGACTGGACTCCCCCTCCATGGAGGCAGGGGAATGCTCCCAGCTCAGCTTGTGCTCTGCATCCCCTCATCCCAATGCCAGCTGTCCTCTGTGAGTGCTTCCCCAGCCTGTGGAGGGGCAGGGAGGATGGAGAGCGTTGCATGCCTCTGATGTTGCAGTGATGCCACAGCCCCAGATTGAACTGAGGGGGAAAAGTCCTCAATTTCCAGTGCTGGCACGGGCTCTGCAGTGGAGCTGTGTGCTGGGTAGGTGGTGGTTCCTGCTGGAACATCCTGGGAAGGGTTTCCCCAAGGATTCAGTGTCTCTGCCTGCTCCCACTGCTCAGTGCAGCTGCTTGGGAGGGTGAAATGAGACCCCATCCTCATGGAAGGGAGTGCAGGGCTTCTCCTGGGTGGGAAGCTGTGGGAATGCTGGCCTTGGGGCATGGATGAGCACAGCAGCCCCCTGGCAGCCCATCCCCAGGGGCACTGGGGGGATTCGGGGCAGCTCTGGCATCAGAGCCAGGTCCCCATTCCAGTGTGTCCACAGCCCTGGCACTGACAGAACTGGTTTTGTGTGGTTGGAGAGCAGCAGCAGGACAGGTTTCATCTCTGGTGGAGCTAAATACTCCAGGGCTGCTTCCAGCCTGGGTGAAAGGAGGATGTGAGAGGAGTATTGAGAGAAAGACACACTGTGATTTACTGGTGCTGGCTCCCAGTGTTCTGGGTGGATTCATCTGGAACAACTTTTTCCCTCCTGGACACAAAATAAAGGGGCTCCTGTGGACTCTCAAAAGTGACTCTTCCAGGGCAGTGTCTCACCACTGACACTGCTGAGTCCCATCCGAGCTGGAAGTTACATTCCAGCCGGGTTTGTTGTGTGCCAGTTTCAGACAAGGAGCAGCATTACAAAAATCCTGCAGGGGGTAGGAGGGTCAGTCAGTGTCCAGCCTCCTTTCTAGATGACCCAGTTTGCATCCATGGAACAGTTTGGGTTGGTGCTGCCTTCGTTCACAGGTGAGGCCAGACTCTGCCCCAAGGCAGGCAGTGTACAGGGGCTTCAGAGGGAAGGAAGAGGAGATGAGGAGGAGGCTGGGGAGAAAACAGCCCCTTCTGGAATGAAGTGTGAGATGGATAGGGCAGGGCTAGATGGGCAGGGAGCAGAGGAGGGTGACACTTGGCTTCTCAAGTTGAGTTTACAGCACACTTGAGCAGCCAGCAGTGGAAGTGAGAACGCCATCCAGTAATGCTATTAAACACACCAGAACTGAGAGCAGGCAAATTACCCAGCTGTAAGAGGCTCCTGATGAAGCCACTGCCTGCAATAATTAGCCCTCCCACCTGGTTAGACCCACGGTCATTGTCTTCCCTGCCCTGTCCAGCCCCTTCACTCCAAATAAAATTGCTCCCCATGCCCACTTGTGCTGGGGCTGTGTCTCATGGCCTGGGGCAGCCTGAGCCTGTCTTTATTTCCTTGCCTGCTCACCACGGCCCTGCTATACCCCAGAAGGGCTGGAGTGCTACTCCACTTGTAATTGCCAGGATCAAAGCTGCCTGGGGTGCATTAGCACTGCTGCTGGAGGAGAGGCAGCAGGGAGAAAATAAACAGTTTGGGAAGCTCTGGGGACACTTGGCTGTGTTGCAGGCAGTGGGAAGGATTTTGCTGCTGTAAGCTGTGCACTCAGGCTAGGGTGGGGGCACTTGGCTCCTGCAAGTGATGCTTTAGCTGCAGACACCTACAACAAATGCATTTTTAAGGGCTTTTGTCTGTTTGTCTGGTGGAATTGTTTTGATGCTCACACACGTCTGATTTACAAGTGCAGCAAACCTAATCCGTTAATAGGTTTATATAGAGGAGTTGTCAGAGTGGATCTATAATGAGCCACGGGCTCAGGGAGGCTGAGTCCAACAGCTGATCTGCAACAAAAATCTTAAAGCATCTTCTCCTTGACACTGCTGTTACTGAGGTCAGGCCATAATTTATCTGAAGGTGGTGACAACTGAGCAATATCACAGTGGGAGCACGCAGGAGATTGAGACCTCTGAGTGTCTGGGCTGATTTCTGCCTCTGTCTGCCTGAGGAAGATTTGCTGCTCACTCTACCCATGATCTCTGTGTCCCCCACTGAAAAGCAGAAATAAAGGAAAAAATGGAGTGGGGAAAAGTTCTCCCTGTTGTTTTTGTGCCATGTACAAAGGGAGGCTGGGGAGTTAAAACAGAGCAGCCCCACTGGCCCTGTGGCAGAGGAGGCAGCAGGGGAAGCTCTGGCAAGGTCCCAGCTCCTGCTCTCCACACAAACCCACGTGCTCTGCCAGGCACAGTGAAGCCAGTTTAGGGTTTTGGGTGGGGGTGTGCCAGGTGTTCCAGCTGGAGAGCTGGAAACCTATATAAATAAATATATAAACCTATAAATTTATAAACCTATTAACCCTGTGATGGATGTGCCAAGGGACAGTTGTGTAGGCCTGGGCAGACACTTGTTTTGTGCCAGAGTTCTGCAGGGAGGCTTGTTGGTTGCCCCAGAAGAGCTGGTTTTGAAGAGCAGATGCTGTGGCAGTGTGCAGTTAGCCTGTCCCACAGTCAGCTGGAGCTGTGTGTCCTTGGAGGACCCACAGCCTTTGGAACAGGCACTGCATTGACACAGGAGAAATATCAGCTGCAAAAACCTTTGGATACACAGCTTCACATCTCCCTTCAGGATTTGTGTGTGTGAGCACCCTGGGGTGCAACTGCTCATCCCAGTAAAAACCACACTCACACCATGTATTGATCAATTTACACCCCTCCACCCCATCTTTTCTTCCCTTTCTCTCTTCCTGAGGGTCTCTGGGCCTGCAGCTCTGCTTTTCTGATCAGAGTTCTCTCATTAAACTCGCCAGGTCGTGGTTTAAAGTGTTCCCCCACAGATCAGCTCTCATCACTTGTGTCTCTTGCTCTGCAGGTTGTAAAGCCCTGGAGGCCTTGCTGAAGGTGCTGGTGGAACTTCAGGATGAGCTGCTGTATCAGTACCCAGGCACGAGGCATCTGGTGGATGGAAAGCAAGCAAAAACTGAGAGGTAAAGGCAGAAAGAGTTAAGATCCTCCTGAAGCCTTTGGTCTCCAGCAAAGAGGACAATGCCCAGCCTTCCTGACCACCCTCACCCTGCTGCTGTGTCTGGGTGACAGACACTGTTACTTGAATTCCTTCTGCCTTGTGGGAAGTCTGCTTTGGAATATTCTGATAATGGAGCAGGGGCTAAACCGCGGGGCTTTTAACAAAAATATCAGTGTGGGGCCAGCAAGGATGCCACATTCCCCCAGGGAGGGATGGGGTGTTTATCCTGAGTGCTTCTGTTCCAGTGAGGATGAAATCCTGAGCAGCAGCGATGAGGAGCCAGCAGAGAAGGCTCAGGAGAAGAGGAGGAGACTCCCCAAACGGAAGCTGAAGTTTGAGGAGTACCCTGAGTTCATAGCCAAGCGCTACAGGGACTTCAGGAGCTACAGGAACAGCACCCTGCAGAAGTGGCACGAGAAGACCAAGCTGGCAACTGGCAAAATGGGGAAGGCAAGGCCTGGTTTGTGTGTGCTGACATGGTTCCCATGGAGCTGGGGTCTGGGAACAAGTTTATACTGAAAAAGGGGAAATCTGGGTATATTTATATTTATAATATATATTTATTTATATTTATAATATAAATTCTTCCCTATGAGTGTGGGGAGACCCTGGCACAGGGTGCCCAGAGCAGCTGTGCTTGCCCCATCCCTGGAAGTGTCCAAGGCCAGCTTGGATGGGGCTGGGAGCAACCTAGGACAGTGTAAGGTGTCTCTTGGTAGTTTCTGTGTTCTGTCAACCAGACATCCCATCACAGCCAATCTCCAGCAGCAAATAATCCAGGAGAATGTCACTGTTGCTGCTGCAGGAGCTGTTTGTGGTTCCTCCCAGAAGCAGGGCCCTCTGAGGCTCTCCTCCTCCACAAAGTGTGGGCTTTAATACAATGGGTAATCATTTCACCCACAGATCCAGGGTCTCCTCACATCCCTGAGCTGGTATTAATCATGGAGAAGTTAATCTGAACCAGAACAGCAAAGGCATTTTATTAAGCCAGGCATCAGCTCGCCTCAGGTTGGGAAGGGAGAGCGAGGGAGAAACAAATAAAAGTGTGAGGAGCCCAGACCCCTCCTGCTGTTGGAGCTGCTCGTGCAGTGCCGTGGGAGGGCAGAGGGAGCCCGGGGCTGCCTGGAGGAGAGGCCGTGCGTGTCCCCTGACCCTGCTTGGTGCCCTGCAGGGCTTTGGAGCCTTGGAGCGCTCGGTGCTGGCGCAGATCGAGCACGTGCTGCTGGACAGGGAGCGGCTGCTGCGGCGCACCCAGACCCGCCGCTCGCTCTACACCGTGCTGGGCAAGCAGGAGCAGCAGCCCGCCCCCGCCCCTCAGCCTGGCCCTGGCAGCTCGGTAAGGGGGGGTTGTTTCTCTCATGCATCCTGGGAGGCTCTGCAGAGCTGGCACAGCCGTGGTGGTGTGCTCGTGTGGGAGGTGGGTGGAGGAGGAGTGTCTGAGCGTGGATTCCTGCAGTGCATGGCTAAGGAAAAACATCTAAACTCCAGTTTTGTGATGTTTGCATTATCTCCTGTCCCAGATCCTGACAGGGGAAACCAAAGCTTTCCTTGAGGTGGGGTTGTGCCCCTCCTGTGCTGCTGACTAAATCTGATTTTTGAGGTAGCGGCAGCAAAACTTGGTTTTCACTCTGCAGTTTAGAGTCTTTAACCCAGAAAGTCCCTTTTAAAATCATACTGCATATAACCTACAGAATATGTTAGTAGTAAGCCCTTTATTAATTTAGTATTTAAGAATGAATAAATACTCAATTCTGAGAGATCAGGTAGAATTACTGGACTTGCAAGATGTATTTTTGCCATTACATTAAAAATATCTGTAGTATTTTGCCAGAAAGACTTTGCACAGTCCTATTTATTTCCCAGTAAAGGCATCATAAATCTATTCTGGCATTGGCAGCGTTTCTGCCTTGCCTTTCAATGTATTCCTGGTCCTTAAAAGCTGGTTATGTTGGGAATTTTTCCCCATTCCTTCGTATCATCAAGTGTGCTTACAAGCTGCTGCACGTGGTGTCTCTGGAGTTAGGGACAGAAACGTGCACATATGAGCTCTGAGTATTTCCTTGGTGCTTGCAGGAAGTCCTCCCTCCCTCAGACTCCAACAGGCACCTGAAGGACATTGATGAGGAGATATTTGATGATGATGACTTTTACCACCAGGTAGGTGATGGGAAATGGGAAATAACAATTATGGCTCCAGTTGGGTTTTAGTACTCACAGAGAAAATGCAGTTGTTTTCTGCTCTGTATTTCTCTTTACCTGTAAAACTCAGTTACCTGTTTAACCCCCAAAATCTCTGCAAGTCTCTCAGTCACTCTGCTCTCAGTTTTTGCTCTGTGAGTTTGCAGCTGCCCTGTGGGTGTGCACTTGCTGCTGCTGCTTGAGTGTGGCAGGAGCTGTGCCTGTTGTTCTCCCTGGGGAACAGCACAGGAGAAAAAGCTCAGAATCCCCTCTGTTCTCTGTGGGCAGAGCTCCCTTAGGAAAAGCAATCCCAGAGGATCCTCAGGAGCACTGGAAGTTGCTCTTGTCCCAGCCTAAATCATCTCACTCACCTGCTGAATGGGAGAGCTCCTGGGCTGCTCCAGCACTTCCCTTGGAACTGGGCCAGCTTGGATCCAGGCCAGTTATTCCTTTTATTTGCAAAATTCTTAGAAGCAAGGAATCTGCACCCAGTGCAGGGAAACACTGTGTTTGTAGTTCATTGAATAAAGACAGTGCCAGCTTCATGAAAACTGGAATTGTCACATACTGAGGAATATGTCACTGTAAACCCTTCCCTGGTGTGTGAAAACCTCTGCCTGCTTTGATGATCCACACAGAGCCTGAACTTCAGAACTAAACAAATATCATTTTATCACTGGAAAGACAGATTTTTTAAAAATCTGAATAATTATTAGAGTAGCCAGTAGAGAGCTGGGGGAGTAGGAGAGAGCTGCTGCCATGTGAGGATGCCAGGCTCCCAGTGGTGATGGGAGAGGGCCCGTCCTTTTAGCAGCAGGGATTGAAGATAAATCTTAATAAAGTTAAATATTTTGAGATGTTGCTGAGGTGGAATTTGGGGTCCAAGTGGCCCAGAAGCTCAGCTTTGGGGGTAAATTGGACCCTAAGAGCACAGAAGTGAAGTTGGTATAACAAAATCATGGAGTGGAGAAAGAGCTGAGGTTGACACTTCAAGGACCTCTGCAGAGGAGGTGCTTCTTGGCCTTGAAATGTTAATTTTTTTAAAAGAAAACAGCAATGGATGAGTGTCCCCATCCTTCCCTCTAATAACTGTAGCTGTGCTAAATCGTGGTTTCAGAAATATGAGCAGGCCCAGCTTAGCTTCTCCCCTCACTGCTTAATTGGGGTGCTGGGGTTAATCTAAATTAAAACTTAAACTAATAGAGGTCATTGAGGGAAGAGAGTCACCTGAGTAAAACAAATGGGTCTGCCAGGCACAACTGTATCTTGGCCATTTCCCAGGAGGGAAGTGGCAGCAAATTGGAGCAGTTTGAGGCGCGGGCAGAGGTGAAGGATGGGTGACAGGGTGACAGGGGCTGGCCTCCAGACTGCCTTCCCTGCTGCTCCAGCTGCAGGGGCAGCCCCAGCCAGCAACATCTGGCAGCACAGCCAGGCATGGGTGCCACCTGGGGACCCCCAGGGGCTGGAAATGCAGTGCTGGGGCTGGTGCAGGCTTTAATCACTTGGCAGTCCTTGGCAGCAGCTCCCACAGCCTCTGCCGGCCTCGTACATCACACACAGACATCTGCTGAGCAGCCAGGCAGCTGCACATCCATTTCCCTCCCTTGCTGGGCTTTTTCTGCCCTCTCTCCCTCCTCCTCTCCTTCCCTTGCAGCTCTCCCCTCTCCTCCATCCCCACGGTGCTCCCTGGCAGAGGGGATCCGTGCAGGTCCCAGTTTGGGGTGCCCTGGTTTGTGTCCTGTGCTCCCTGGGGTTTATGGCAGAGCTTGGAGCCAGCTCAGGGATTAGGCTGAGGAAAATGGCTCTGTGTTTTCTGTCAGCTCCCAATTAAATTGGATTCATAAAGTGCTTTCCTTTATTTGTCAGGGCGCTGAGCTGGAGCTGAGCGCTGCATTGAGAGCAGGGAGAGCCAGCACAATGGAGCTGACAGGGCCTGAATGGCTCTGCTGTCCCTGGGTCACAGCTGAGCAGTGCTTTGTGTGTGTGGGGGACTGCATGTGGGCATGCCAATAAAACCTGGGAGGGAGCTGCTCCTGCAGGAGTGACCAGCAGCAGGCTGAGGGTGCTCACCCCCTCTGACCCCTGTGCATAGCACTGATTGCAGCCTGCATTTCAGCACCTGCCTCTTCCTCCCTGCTGCAGGCTGCATCCAGGCTTTCCTTGGGATCATTTTCACCCTTCTCAATAACATTTTATATAGTTATTAATTTATTTTGATTACTGCTAGAAGTAAGTAGCATTCAGATAAAGAACAGCACTGGAAAGCAACTTCCTCTATGTGTCAGTGTGAAATTAGGCAAGTAAAAATGAACCAGATTTGATGAATGTGCACAAGTTAATGATAACAGAATAAGTAGTTATACTGTTTTATTATAGATTATAATAAAAAGCTCTTTAATTAATCTGTTTTTTCTCTGGAATAAAACAATTTTCTTGTCCAGGTCTTAATATTCAGTAGAATTCAGCAGGTGGGTCTGGTGGAATTTTGTGATGATTCAGGATTTAACTCTCTTCTGCCTGTTCATCCCACTTTTCTCCTGTTCCTCACTTGTTTTATAAGCAGTTGCAGTTTTTGTTCTGATGGCCCATATTGGATGGTGATGGAAAGCTGAGCTGAGCAGTGCAGTGAAATATTTTTATTTGGATGGGAATAGTTCAAGTGTTTCAGGAGCTCCTCATTGCTGGCAGCAGTGAGAGGCTGGAGCCCCTTTCCTTTTCCTTTAAATCCTCCTTCATACTTGGGTTTTAGGGAAGAAAAAAGGCTTTTTATTTTTAGAAGTCATATTTACGTAGAATTCATTACAGCTGATATTGCAGCATTAAGACTTAAAATTCCAGCCTGCTACCAGGGAGCTGCTGCTCTGACATGCTACAGTGGAGATTTTATTGTTGGGTTGAAATACTCCTCTGCTAAAGGAGAGAGTGGAAATTGGTTTGTTTCCAACAGGAATTAGGTTAGTGTTCATATGCTAAGTGTTCCAGTGGTAGCAGCTCTTCCCAGAACAAATGTTCATCACTTGTGGCAGCAGGTATGCCTAAGGAGAATTGGGAATATCCATAATCCCTTTTTTCCTTGGCTCCCTCCTCCCCTGGTTTGGGCTCTTTGTGACAGCCCAGGGCCACCAGTCCTGGCTGTGGGCATCAGAGAGGAGGGGGAGCACCCAAGGAATCCCCAAATCCTTCCAGGGGGGTTCTCATCCCCCCTCAGCTGGGATTTACCCCAAAAATAGCATCCTTAACCCCTTGTGTGCTGTCTCTCTGCACAGCTTCACTGCTGGGGTGATTTCCCCACAGTTCCCTGGCCCAGTGTGGTGTCCCCTCCCAGGAATTTGGAATGCCTTAAACACGGAATTACCAATCCAGGGAACTATTAAAAGTCAATAATGGTGAGGAATAGAGAAGCCTGCCTTTGTGACAAGCTGGTTTACCTTAATTAAACCGGTGAGTGATTAATATGGACAGCTGATCTTGTGGCTTTAATTAGATGCATTTAGAGTTTTGTGTGAATAAGAGATGTCTCGAACCATCCCACGGGTTAATGGCAATACAATACTCTTATCACAGGCATGTATCTTTCAAATGGCTGGGTAGATGGTTAATAACACATTTTAAAGCTTGATTTGGAGCTTCTCTTAATGGGTTCCTCGAAAATAGGCAAATCTGTGCATCTTACACCAACCTGAATCTGAATAAAATGGGCTTTAAAAAGAGGCTGCCCAGTGATTTCCGCTTGCATTTTATTAAATATAAAAATTAAGTTTTCAAAAAGCATTTCAAGGGGATTTAAAGTAATATTTGAGCTGCAAACTTAAATTTTCTCTGGTGTTGGTAGAAATCCAAATGTTGTTACACAGCTACTGAGTGGGAGCTTGACAGGGGATCTGTAGATGGACTTCTTTTTAAATTTGATTTGCTCTGTAAGGTCTAAGACAAGTGAGCCTGTTGTCATGAGGTGATTTCAGCTCTCCTTAGCTCTTTGTCTCTGCTGGCAGTTCTTAGGGGTCTGCAAATCAGAAAGGTCAGTGAGTGCAGCATTAGAAACACTGATAGATAGTGCATGAAAATGAGAGCTAACCTCTAAAATGAAAATTGACCTCTAAAATGAGCAATGAGGCCGTGTCACCCTGGAACAGCACCCTGGTGGCATTTCCCAGTCCCTGTGGCGTGCCCAGGGCTTGGTGTGCCTCTCTCTGCCTGGCACTGAGGGGAATCCTGGAGGGGAATCCTGCAGGGAGCCCCTCAGGGTGCAGGGGCTGGGCTCTGTGTCAGGACAGCTTTGGGTTCTGCTGCAGCAGCTCTCCCTGCCAGGGGGTGCAGCTGGCACTGGCAGCTCCCCCTGCTCCCCTGGCTGGGCACTGGGCACTGGGGCTGTGCTTCCTGCAGCTCTGTGCTGCCCTGGCACCGAGCTGAGCTCCTGCCAGGTCAGGGAGGGAAAGCAAGGCAGCATCTCTTTCCATCAAAGCCTTTTGGTGCTGGAATTGCCTAACTCTGTCTTCACACATCAGGGCTCAACGCTGATGGTGATTTACTCACACTTCCTAGTTAATAATTAGACATTGGGAGACACCATCTATCACTCCTAATGGAATATGTGGGGTCTGATGAGAGTTTTCTGTTTTGACTAATAAATTTTAAGCAGAATCGCCAGGCTTAATGAAATATTACCGTTTGGGAAGTGGTTTAAGTCTTGTGCTGGGAAAACAGTGTTGCTTTATTCACTAAATGAATTTATCATTCACTCTGTATCCCGAGCTCTGGCTGGCTCTGGAGCACGGGCTGGGTGCAAGACTCTGAACCAGAAAGCAGAAAACTAATCAAATCCTTAAAGACCAAAGGCAGCCAGGCAGGCCTGGGCTGGCTTTTTCAGTGGTAGCCTCTGGCTACATCCACTTTTATTTTAGTAACCATTGTTAGCATGATTTATAACCTCAGCTTGGAGACTCTTGCTATTTAGATGTAACAAGATGCTTCACAGCTTTTATTTCCATTTCCTAATTTCCCTCTTGCTTCTGCTTTTTTATTTATTATTTTTTTCTTTTTCTTAACTTCTCCCTCATCTTTGCTGCTCTCCCAGGGCAAGCTGACACTGCCCTGGAAGAACTTTTGGAGCACTGCAAGGCCTTGTCAGCCCCAAGGTCCACAGAACTCGTTCAGGATTAGGAACTTGCCCCAGAAATGCATCTTGGAATTGTGGAATGGTTTGGGTTGGAAGGAACCTTAAAGCTCATCTTGTTCCACCCCCTCAGTTCCAGGGATGCAGGGGCAGCCCCAGCTGCTCTGGGCACCCTGTGCCAGCCCTGCCCACCCTGCCAGCCAGGAATTCCTTCCAGTATCCATCCAGCCCTGCCCTCTGGCATTGCCTCACTGTGGGCACAGCTGGGGCACTCCTGGCTGCTCCAGCCTGCAGTTCTGGGCCAGCAGCAGCAGCCAAGCCCTGCAGGGAACGTCCTGCTGCTGCTTCCCAGGGGCACAGGGTGGCTGAGGGTGACACCTGCCCTGTGCCTCGTGCAGGACAGCAGCAGAGGGACAGCACACCCCCTCACTGCTGGAGCAGGAGGAAGGCACCTCACCTCTCTGCACCCCTTGTGCCTGCTGCTCCAACCTCCCTCCCACCTTGCTTTTGACAGAATATTGACTGGAAAGCAAGATCCCATTTGTGCTCAGCCTCCAGGGCAGCTGTTTGCAGAGTGGCAGTGCTACACAGGTTTACTGTGTCGTGTGTCTGTGTAACACTGGATTTGGATCTTGTATTTAGCTGCCAGAAGTGACTGTGATGAAGTGGCAGAGATAAACTGATAGATTGTGTGCCAGAAAGATGTTGGGAATCAATCAGATGAACAGGGCAGAGAGGTAGCTTGCTGTTTTCTGGTGATAATAAACCAGTGGCCTGGCTCCTGGAATTTTAAAACGTAATTGCTGCAGTAATAATCTCCAAAAATAAGCAAGTAGGAACAAAAAAAAAAATAAATAGTGGCAGGTTTTTAATTATGTTTGAATCACTCTTTTTGTCTGGTAATGTGGTGTATGCCTCGAAGGAGGGGGAAGTACAGGGTGGAGGAGAAGCATCCTGCATCCTTTCTTGCCTGGATTCTGGTTCCAGGGGGGTCAGTTTCAGCTGTTTCTGAGCTGTAACTTCACTGGCTGGTGAATTGTAGGTGTCCATAAAGCAGTTTGTTCCCCTCCGTTTTGGAGGGTTTATTTCTGTTCCTCACGTTGATGTCTTGGCCAGTACCCAAGGCACAGCAGGCACGGTGTGCAGTGGGTGGTGATAAACACACAGCACCAGTCAAGGATCCAAAAGGCTGTGCACAACATCCTCTGCTGCAGGAAGCAAAGAGGACAAACCCCAGCCCTCAGGACACAAAAAGAAATAGAAGAGGCTGCCTGAGCACTCCTGCTGTAGCTATAAAAAGGATTTTGCTGTGCTGTTCTCCGAGCGAGCATCGCTGCCCAGCTTCTGTCTGGGAATTGTTTCAGTCCCCTGCCCTTCCCAGCAGTGGGGACAGCCCTGCTGTGGGGCTTTTCCTGCACGCCTGGGGCAGCTGCCTGCACCACAGCTGTGCTCTATTTCTGGTTTTGGTTTCTTGCAGCTCCTGCGAGAGCTGATCGAGCGGAAAACCACAGCCCTGGACCCCAACGACCAGGTGGCCATGGGCAGGTGAGTGAGGGGCTGGCCAGCCCTGCCTGCAGCCCAGCCCAGGCTCTGTGCCCTTCAGCACAGCTCCCTGCAGAGGGCAGAGCCCTGAGTTCACTGGGGAGGCCACGGGGACATTGGCAGGAAATCATCCTCATCCTCTCTGCAGGCTCCTGGCTTGTGCAGTCACCCAGGCTGCCTTGGAGAGTTGGTGTGTGACCCTCTGGAGCTATTTCCCCACTGGAAACGTTTGGTCCAGGTGTTCCTGCCTCTCAGTGGGTCCTGCAGCACTAAGTGGCACAAAAACTCACTGCCCACTGCTGAAATTTGGCTCTGGCTCTTTGTTAACTCTGCTGAAATTTGGCTTTGGCTCTTTGTTAACTCTGCCTTGGTGTTGTTTGAGAAGAGGAAACCTTCTGACATCAGCTAAAGCAATTCCTGTGATCCCTCCTGTAAGAAAGGGTTCTGTGCAATGAAAACTGTATCAGGGAATGCTCCCTGCATGCAGAAGTAAAATATAATTCCATGCAGGGAAGCTCTTATTTTTCTGTTTAATTCTAGAGTTACAAAGTAAAGAATCTTCCAAATGCCACCTCATGAGCAGAGTGCACTGAAATAGCCACGGGCTCCAGTTCAGAAAAGTGTAAAAGCTAAGGAAGGCTGAAAAAGCTGGAGCTGGGCTCTTCCCTGAAACAATTTTGGGGGGCTTGTCTATAGGGAGGGGAAGAAAATGCATCAGGAAATGTTGTGATGGTGAAACAACTTTTCTCCTTGTAAAATATCACCCAGATTTTAGTGCAATGTCAGATTTATTTTGTGTATTTCTGGAATATTATGGAAAGCTATTCACTATGATTTAACACGATATAGACAAAATTACATTTAAGTGGTGATTGCATTGTACATTTATCTGACTTTACAATAAAATAGATTACAGTAATTAAGATTATATTAAGATTGCAGTAATTGGATTTGGTTAGATTTTTTCCCTGATGTCGAGTTTTCATTGTATAAATCAGGTGAGATGACGCTCGTTTCAGCTTAAAAAAAATATTTATAACCAGGAGAAGTTTTTCCCTGCTGGAAACTTCTTTGACTTGAGGAAGTTCTGGTTGAGAAGTGGAGCTTTTACTGCAGCTGGGGATCAGAGAGTGTTTTGGGAGTGTTCTGGGCTCTGAAGTTGTGTTCCTGTTCTGCATTCCCCAGGCAGTGGTTGGCCATCCAGAAGTTACGGAGCAAAATAAAGAAGAAAGTGGACAGAAAAGCCAGCAAAGGAAGGAGGATCCGGTGAGTGGCACCTCCTGCAAGCACACACAAACCCTCTTTTTGGGAAAAGGAAAAGCCTGGCAGCTCTGGGTGTGTTTTACCCCTCTGGCTCTGGGGGGCTTGGCTGGTTTGTGACCTTGAGGGCATTCCCTGCTCTGGGCAGCCAGGGGAATGCTGATGCTCCTGGAGCCTGGAATCAGAGCTTGGTGGATGCATTGCCCCACTCAGGGTCTGGGGAAACACCAGAGAAAGGTGCTCACATCTCCCTGAGCCTTTTGGGGCTGGAATTTCCAGAGAGAGCCAATAAACCCCTCTTGTGCAATTTGTATTTCCTGACTGAGCATGGGCAGCACCTCCAAGGGAAGATGTGCAGAAACACCTCAGGTAAATCTCAATTTTCCCCGAGTGCCAGCTGGAATTTGGTGTCAGGTCTCTCTTTGCTGGTAACTCACATCCCAGCTCCCTTCATGTCTGAACCATTTCCCTCCTGGATCACTCATTTGGCTCGAGCTCAGTGTCAGAAGCTCCCACGTGGGGAGGAGGCAGCCTGGAGAGCAGGAGGTGTTTCCCCTTTGCAGAGCAGCTCTGAGTCTCCCTGAGATCAGCATGATTTGTGGTGGAGGAGGGAGGATGCTGAAAAGCTGCTCTGCTTCCTGAAAAATCCAGCACATTAACCATCCTTTGTGAGTAAACTATAAATCCTGAGTTTAGATGGCATCTGATAGAAAGTCAGTGGAGTCAGTCTGGGTCTGGCCTGGCATAGCAATTTTTAAGATAGATGTCATAAGATAATTTATTGAAAGAGGGAAGAGCTACTTTGTTGGCCTGAAAAGCCTATAATTATTGACTATCAATATTCCTTTCTGTCAGCATCACACATAATTGGATATATTCAGGATTCAGTCAAAACTCCTGACAACATCACACAAGTGAGGCAGCCCCTGGACCTCCAGGAATGAAGGGAATCTCTCCCTGTGTGCCCTCAGCAGTCCTGGGGGAGCAGCTCTGCCCCAGCCAGCTGCCTCTTACCTCTCAGGTGCCTCTTTTTAGCTAAAAGTTGTGCTGACCCTGCAGGGAAAATAACAATAAAAGAAGGAGAGGCTCGTTGTGTGTGGTTGGGATTGAGATGCAGTTAACCCCCTGCATTTTTCAGAGTAGGGCAGTGGAGCCCAGATGGGTTTTTAAATAGTTGGTGCTTCCACTGAGGGACTTGGTGTCACCCCAGGAGACCCCTGACCCTGCTTCCCTCTCCTTCTCTGAAATTGGGACAGGAGTGCTCATATTTGCTTTCATGGGGGTCTTGGAGGTCCTGGAGAGCCAAGTATTTAACACCAAATTTCATCTGTCTCCTTAATTCTTCCTTTTTAGCAAAGCTTCAGTTTTAGAGCCTGTTTGGGTGCAGTGTGCTGGTTTATTGTAGGGGCTCAGCATCTTCAGGTGCTTCCAGGAGCAGCCAGTCTTCCCCTTGGCACGAGGGACACTGGGGCATTGAGAGGGGAGATAAATTCATCCAAAAATCAAACTGCAGAGACCTGCAGGGGGCTGTGGAGGAGGGATGTTTGCACACCTTTCTCATGGCAGTGTTTCCTGAGCTGGGGTGTCTTTCTGTTCACTAAGGGAAATATTTTCCATTGGGCTGGGCTTTTCCACAAGCAATCAGCTGTGGGCAGGCAGCTGGTGCCAGAGGCTGGAGTGGGCACGAGTGCCAGGCTGTGCCTGCAGGAGCTGTGCCCAGGGAGCATTTCCTGCTCTGAGCAGTCCTGGGAGCTGCTCCTGCTCAGGCCAGCAGCATTTTCTGCTCTGAGCAGTCCTGGGAGCTGCTCCTGCCCAGGCCAGCAGCATTTCCTGCTCTGAGCAGTTCTAGGAGCTGCTCCTGCCCAGGCCAGCAGCATTTTCTGCTCTGAGCAGTTCTAGGAGCTGCTCCTGCTCAGGCCAGCAGCATTTTCTGCTCTGGGCAGTCCTGGGAGCTGCTCCTGCCCAGGCCAGCAGCATTTCCTGCTCTGAGCATTCCTGGGAGCTGCTCCTGCCCAGGCCAGCAGCATTTCCTGCTCTGAGCAGTCCTGGGAGCTGCTCCTGCTCAGACTAACAGCATTTTTTGCTCTGGGCAGTCCTGGGAGCTGCTCCTGCTCAGGCCAGCAGCATTTTTTGCTCTGAGCAGTCCTGAAGTGCTGCCTGCTGCTCTCCCCAGGTACCACGTCCACAGCAAGCTGGTGAGCTTCATGGCACCTATTGACCTGTGCACAATGAATGATGATGCCAGGTGAGTAAGAGATTAATTATGTTTCTCAAATGGCTCCATGACAGCGTGGTATTGACCTGTTCTTCAGCCTGTCACCCTCTCCATTCCTCCTTATCAGCTCCCCATTTGTCACTGGCATCACAGCCTGGGTGTCTTGGTCACATCTGTCCTGGCAGCCTGGCTGAGCTTTCACTCTGGAATTACTGTGGTACCAAACCAGAAATTGGCATAAATCTCAGCACCTAGGCTTTGATTCCTCCTTTAGAGCTCCTAGTTTGAAATTAGGAGTTCTGATTTCAAAAGTCCTACATTTTGAAATTTTATGGAATTAGTTTGGAAATACACAGCCAAGCACCTGGTGTCTTCAGGTGGAATCAGAGCTTAAAAAGAGCTTCTCTTCCAACAGAAATGGCAACTTCTGTATTCTGGTTAATGTGCATTTTCTTAGCTCACTTAATAACTGGAATAATTCTCTCAAGATTCACTCAGGACTTTTATGTTGCTTGTGTTTATCTCTATTTAAAGAGTACAGAATTTTATTGGAAGGCTGTAATGTTTTAATGTGGTCATTAGTAAAGGAAACACTACAGTGAAATTTTGTGCAGAGATTCCAGACAGCTCCCCCACATACCCACCCATATTTCTTAAACCCAAACCTCCAAAAGCTGAGCTGCTTGTGGGAAGGAGGTGGAATAATTTTTCCAGTGAATGGATGGAGAAAGCTTGAGAAACATCTTTCCCCTGGGTTGTGGAACATGTTTGTGCTTTGTGAGGGAGAGATGTCATTTGTCTGTTTGTGGAATGGAAACCAAATACCTGCTGCCTTTTGGGGGATTGCAGGGGCTTATGGATGAGGGGTTTTGTGTCCATAGCACCTGTGCTGTTTCATCACTGCATCTCTCTCTCAGTTGCTTTACTCTGGTTTTTTTTCTCTCCTTTTTTTCTTTTCAAGTGAGAGCAAAGCCCAGCTGCTCTGATTTTCCAGTATTGTTTGGATCCCCTCACCACAAAAAGAAATGTGGGAGTCTCCAAGCTGTTCCTCCAGCCATGTGGCCCTAATGTTTAGCTTGAATTTCCCTCTGCTGTGATTTAGGGCCATCATTTCTTGTCCTGTTCCAGGTGGGAACAGATTCTTGCTTCCTCTTGGCAGCAGCCCCTGCACTTCTGAGTGGAATTCTTGTGAAAAGCTGGGTGTTGTTTTTTGTCTTCCCCCCAGTTTACCCCATTTCTGTTTGCATCCACACACTGAACACATCCAAAAGACTGCAGTGGGAGTGTGAAAATGAGGCTTTTGTGGGTGTTTGTTCAGCTCTCCCCAAATGGAGATCTGCTCTGAGTCATTTGTTTGAGAATCAGAGCCACTCTGGGGGTCACATTGCTGTGTTCAGAATGTCCTGCCCTTGGCATGAGCCACAAAATCTCTGTCCAGCACACAGCTGGACCTCACCAGGCAGGAAGAACTCTGCTCCTGCAGAAGAACTCTGCTCCTCAGAGCTCTCCTGAGCTGTGTGTGCCTTTGGGGTTCATCCTGTGTGTGTCACTGTGAGACACAAACCCTCAGCTCTGTCCTGTGTGAGGGGAGCAGGGGCAGCACAGACTCTGAAGCAAGGTGTCACATTCCTGCAGAGTCTGCTGAACATCCTTGTTGCCCCTCTGGAGGACAGTGACTTGCAGGGACAGACATCCTCTAAGGACACATGTTTGCTCCAAACACCTTTATCTCCCCAGACAGCTCGGGTTATTCTGACAGGTAAAACAAGATTGTGCAAATATGCAACAGTGATCTAATCAGCTGCAACAACAGCAGTGCTTTAACTGGCACTACCTTTTAACAGCATCATTAAGGGCTCTCATTACTCTTTTATTAGAGGCTCACTCTATTTCTTATCAGATTACAGAATGAACATAACTCATGGCACTGATTTGATCTCTGGCTGGGAGGATTGCAGCTCTGCATTAGCTGGGATTGACGTGGTTTGTGATTTGCTGTGGATGCCCAGGCTGGCAGTGTCACCCCGTGACCCCTGCCCACCCCCAGGGCCAGCACCCATACATCTTCATTAAACCTGGCACCAGGGCTCTGCAGAGCCCCAGGGAGCCTTTCCTGCAGGGGACAGGCAGGACAGAGGGACAGACTGCAGTTCCAGCAGGGGAAGGTGGGATGGATCCTGGTTATACAGGCTGGGGTCTGCCTCAGCACACGGATCTCTCAGGGAGGAGGAATCTGCATCCTCCAGGAGCCAGGCACAGGAAGGTGGGATGGATCCTGGTTATACAGGCTGGGGTCTGCCTCAGCACACGGATCTCTCAGGGAGGAGGAATCCTCCCTGAAATCTGCATCCTCCAGGAGCCAGGCACAGGAAGGTGGCTCTGCTGGGACTGTGCCACAGCAGGCAGTGTCCCCACAACGTGAGGTGGGAACCCCTTCCCTGAATCCACATCCAAGGGCAGGAAATGCCCCCCTGCCCCAGGATCCTGCCAGGCACTGAGCCCCCAGCCCAGTGCTGTTCCAGGAGCAGAGTGGAGCCTGCTGGGGCTGAATTCTCAGCCAGATGATCCAGCTGCCACTGAGGCTGGGATTAGAGCCTTTCCTTGGATCCTGTGCCTTTCCCCAATCAGCATTCTCCCTTCAGTGCAGTTGCTTTGTCACAGAGAGTCTGGCTGCAAGCAGAGGGGGGTACGTAGCAGGAAATCCTGGTATTAAAAGATTAATTTACTTATATGACATAGGAGTTTAATAAAAAAAAAATTTAAAAAAAAGGTTGGTGAGATAGCAGCCTTTAACTTGGCTCACTTTGTACTTGGGGTATTAAAACACCACGAGAGCAGATTAATGGAGGAATTTGGGCTCTGCAGTTGTCAATCCAGGGTGTTCAGCACCACAGAATTCCTGGGAGGAAGCAAAGCCCTTCCTGCTGGGGAAACTGAGGCAGCAGCTCAGTGCTGCAGGGCACACACCCCTGACCCTGGTGGTGTCAGGAAAATGTGAGGTGTGTTCAGGCCTGGGAGAGAGGATCTGCTGCTCTGGGGAACAAGGGGAGAGCAGGGCAGGGAGGGCAGGACCCAAGGAAAACCTCACCCTGTGGAACCAGACCTGCTTGGATGGATCCTGAGGCACCACAGCTGTGGAATCCCAGAATCCCAGACTGGTTTGGCTGGGAGAGAACTTCAAACCCCCCCCGGGAGGGCAGGGACACCTTCCCCTGTGCAGGCTGCTCCAAGCCCCAGTGTCCACCCTGACCTTGGCATTTGTTCTCTCTGTGCCTGGTTTTGTTCAAATCCCCCAGGCTGGGCTTGGTGAGCCCTGGGGGTGCAGTGGGGCACCCGTGTCCTCCCCCAGGGCTCTGGGGAGGGCTCAGCTGCCAGGCTGAATGCCACCCAGCTGGTGCCACTGGGCTGACTCCTCGTCCCCACAGCTGATGTTTGACATCCCTGGCAAACACACAGGAGCCTCTGCTATGGAAATTTCCCTCTTAAAGGGGGGAAAAAAACCAACCTGTTAAGGGCTGTGAGATGATTTGTCGTTTTTCCTTTGTGAGACAATTTGTCTTCTCCTGCATCAAATCTGTTACAAACCAGGCAAGCTGTGAAAGGGGAAATCGTCCTCGGAATATGAGGAGCACAAGGAATGGTTCCCTCTGCTCAGGGCACCTCCCAGAGCCTGCCCTGCTCACACAGCCATCCCAAGGCAGCATTTGATGGATTTCCTGGCAGCTGCTGGAGGTGCCTGGGTTTTTCTGGTTCTCTGAACCTTCTGTGCTGCAAAAACTCCTGTGGAAATGGGACTGGGACCCCTCTCAGCACCTGGACTGGCTGGAGCTGCCAGCTATTCATTTAATTAATATTTATTTATTTTACATCTTATTTTATGAATTAATTAATTTATTATTTTTTTTTAAATGATGTTGTTGAGCTGGAAGCAGCAGTGCCCAGGTGGGGAGGTGCCATCCCCTGCTCTGGAAGAGATGCATCAATAATTAAGCCAAGGTGCTCACACACACACATGTTTTATGGCAAATGCCTGTGTGGTTCCTGATCATTTTTTCCAGAAACAGGTTTTATGATAATACAGTAAAAATATTAAATTAGAAAATGCCTCACTAAGGGTGATAAAACCTTACTACAGTGGAAATAGGTAATTATCCCCTCTACAGCCTAAATGACAGTTTAAAAGAAATAAAAATGTTAGTGCTCATTACTTGCTTTTGTGGGCTGCAATAAAGGGGAAGTTAAATTTGAATTCAGGGGGAATTGTGCTCATTCCTGGGCAGCCCAGGCCTCCTGCCCTCCCCTGGGCTCAGGGCACCTTCCCCAGCTCCAGGGCTCTGGGTGCCTCAGGCTCCAGCCTGGGTTTCATTTCTGTGGGTGGAGCAGAGGAATTTTGTATTTTTTTAACCAAAATCCCAAGTTCATTATGCATAGCCTTAAGGGGGCTGAAAGTATTAAAATCTGCACTTACCCTGGTGAATTGAAACACAGACAAGGTTAAACCTGGAGGATTGATGAGTTTTACTCTCTGCATGGTTAAATCCTGCTGAGGGGAGAGGCTGCAAAGGAAAGGGAGCCTGGCTGATGAGGAGAGGGGGCAAAGGGTTGGGGTTATTTTATATTTATATTTATATTATTCTATGTTTTATTTTATATTTTATATTATCTTCTATATTTTATATTATTTTATATTTCATATTTCATATATTATAATTTACATTATATATTCTATCTTATATTATTTTATATTTTATATTTTATAATTTATTTTATACTTTATATTATTCTATATTTTATAATATTTTTATTTTATACTTTATATTCTTTTATACTTTATATTATTTTGTATTTTATATTTTATATTATTTTGTATTTTATATTTGATATTATTTTGTATTTTGTATTTTATATTTTATTTTCAGGGTGAAATGTTTGCCCTGTTTTGGGGGTGCTGGGGTTGCCTGATCCTCTCCTCCCCTTGTCACCCAGCCAGGGTGTCTGTCCCTGCTGTGTCAATGCCCAGAAGGATCCCCTGGGATTTGCTCCATCCCACTCCTTGTGCCATTCCTGGGAACCCCCTGCCCCCAAAACTGGAGTTTCCATGTCACAAACATTGCTCTGCCAGCAAAAACAAATTCTCCCTTGAAATCTCCCCAGGCCCTGCTGCTGAAAAATGGTTTTTATTTAAAATCAGAGTCTGCATTGGTCCCTGGGCTCTGCAGCCACAGGACAGCCTCGACCCCACACAAATGAGGAGAGAAACCCCAGAATCCCCCCTGGGCAAGGTGCAGAGCAGCTCTTGGGGTTTGGGTGCTCGTGAGGCTGGCACAGAGCTTTGCTCCCCCGAGTCCTCCCCTGGGGCTCCCCAAAACGTTCACCTTGCTTTGAACTCCCTCCCATTCCTGGGGCTGGAAAAGGAGGGGATGAGGAAGGGGAAGGGCCCAGGGAGGCTGCAGAGGGGAGCAGGGGTGTTCCTGTAGCACACAAAAACCACCAGGTGAACATGCTGCTTTCTCAGGGCAAAAAGGGGAGTTTATTTGTTAATTCTAACATTTATAGATTTCTAAAGGTGGCAGTGGATTGGAGGGTGACAGTGGCACCTCTCCAGTGACACTGGACAAACCAACAGTCCATCAAAATTCCCCTCCTCCATAAAAGAAAGCAGAACAATAAGTTATTTACAGAAAGTGTGTGAGAAAGTTCATGACAAGAATGTAAACATCAGAAGGTTTAGAAAATCCTAAAAATCAGAGCGACACCAGGATTTCCCCAGATTCCCTTGGGGTGGTTTTGGGGCAGCTTTGGGGCTGTTCCCTGCAGGACCCAGCTCTGTCTGTCCAGGATTTCATTCCTGCACTTGCTCCTGGGGAGGATTTTCTGCCATCACTGCTGAACATGGAATCCAGAAGGTTTAGAAAATCCTAAAAAACCAGAGCGACACCAGGATTTCCCCAGATTCCCTTGGGGTGGTTTTGGGGCAGCTTTGGGGCTGTTCCCTGCAGGACCCAGCTCTGTCTGTCCAGGATTTCATTCCTGCACTTGCTCCTGGGGAGGATTTTCTGCCATCACTGCTGAACATGGAATTTTGGTGGCAGGGCAGGGAACCCTCCCATGGAGGTGTCTGCAGGCAAAACCCAAATATTGCTGTGCTTGGAAGGGAAAATCCCTCTGTGTGCCCAGCTCCCCTCCACCTGTGCAGCCAAGAGGCTTTAGGAGCTGCACTTAGGGAAAATGCAGCTCTTCCCCCATGCCCAGAAATCCCTGCTTGATGAGAACCCCTCCTTTCTCCCAGCTCACGTTCTCTGCTTCTAAAATTAAAGATAAATAACACCAGCCCACTTTTCTTTTTTTTAAATTTTTTTAAGGGAAATTTGCTCCTGTTATCAGAACTGCTGCACATGGGATATTAATTGGAATCTTGTTGCTGGGTCATTTTCATTGTTTTTCAAGTACTGTCCAAGAAAATGTATGAAAACTAAATTACAGCCCCACGTTGGCTGTGTGATTGAATCCTCCTCACGGCCCCTCCATCCTATTAAAATATTCAATCTTGTTTTCCTACTTGAAGAGCCTGTCTGTAAAGGGCAAACTTAGAGGAACCCTCATTCTCTGGAGATCCAATATCCAGCCCCACTGGAATATTTCCATCTTTCTGCCCTGCCTGGCACTGGGCTCACACCAGTTCCCCCCTCTGCCTGTATTTGTTAATAAAGATTCTCGAATGCATTTTTAATTACACCAGGCCTTTTCCTGGCAGCCTTTGGATTCCATTCTGACCTTGGGAATAACTTTTCCCTGTCCCTTTTTTCCCCAGGACGGAGCTGTACCGGTCACTGTTTGGAAAGGTCACGAAGGAAGCAGAAGCAGAGCAGGATTAGGATTTGGGATTGAGCTCCTGGGCTTCTCCAGCTGCTTCTGCTCTCAGCTGCTCCCCAGGGCTGCCCAGGAGCAGAGCCAGCTCTCTGGTTTGTCCCCAAAATCCTCCCTGAAGGAGCCCCACACCCTGCTAAGAGTGAGCCTGAAGTGCCTCCTCCCAAAGACAATCCATTTTTAACAATTCCCTTTAAATTTAAATTCCTGACCTTGATTTTGCAGCCTGGGCACAGTGTGGGGGCAGGGACACAATCCAGCTGTGTTAAAACCTTGGAGATTTGGGGGCTGGGGGGTTCTGTGCCCTGTTCTGGTGCTTGGCTGCATATTGACTTCATTTTTCACCAGTCAAGAGGATTAAAATGTCATTTCCATAATTAACATGGCCTTAAAACAGAGGAAAGGTGCTGCTGTGCAGGCAGCAGAGCTGCCAGGTCACAACCTGGGTGCTGAGCACACCCTGGCTGGCCCTGGCACGGGATGTGCCAGGAAATTGCTGCTCTGGGAGGATCCTGGGGACCCCTCCAGCATGGCTGTGACATGCCAGCAGGATGGCAGCACAGAGGTGACTCCTGGGGGTGTGTGGGGAGGTCCTGGCAGTGTCCCCAGGCACAGGAGGGTCCCGTGGGACCCCCGGCCTGCAGGGAGATGAAATTCTGCCATCACAGCCTCAACCCCTGGGTCAGGCCTGGGCACCCAGAAAGAGCCAGCCTGATTGCCACCAAGTTCTCCTAACAGCAAGTGAGATCTTCCCCCCCCCAGTAGAATATTAATTCTTTATTAATTCATGATACAGCTGCTAATTAGTACCTGCACAAATGGGCATTACACCTCAGCAAACACCGAGGGGCTCTGGGACTGGGCTGTGCACAGGGAGGGACACGGGGCTGTGTTAATCCTCTCCCCCCAGCCCCGCCACAGCAAAGAATTTCAACTTTCAGACAAACAACTTCATTTACAAGTGTGTCTCTAATTAGCTGCAGAATTAGTAAAGCAGAGTTTTCCCCCCATAGATCGGCCACAGCCCCGGGGGAGGCTCCGGGACGGAGAGAATCGCATTTCCAATTATTTTGTTGAATTGCTAATTTAGTTATTGTGCCTGGCGTAATTGTGATGGGTATTGGGTGTGCAATTCAATTTGTTTTAAATATTTGTGGGAAGGCTGATCAGTAATGGAGCTGACCTATTTCATGGCCCAAATTGAGAGAAGAGACTAAAACAAAAAACAGCTACAAAGCCCCAGTTTGTCTCAGTTTTTATTTTGATGTCTCTCATCCCTCTTAAGACTGTTGATGCAACAAAAGGTTTACATTAAAAGATGATGGCACTTTGATCTTGGGCTTTGGAGAGCTTACAGCTTTGGTATGTCTTTTCTTGGCATTTTAATGTGGAGATATTTTAGGCTAAAGAGTTTTAAATGTGATGCTGGAGTTCAGTAGGGTCTGTCCCCTCACCATCCCCCAAATTTTAACTGTCATAATTCTGGTTCGAGAAATGCAGAAAATCATCTGATGGGGCTGTGGTGGCTCACGTGGGCAAATTTAAATCTCACCTTTCATGGGGACACCAACACCCAAGGGGTGTTTGTGGATCAGCTCCCAGGGACATCTTTAGCCCAAGTCCTGCTGGGCCCTTCCCTGCAGGCTCCTGAGGCTGGGAAAGGGCTCCAAGGTGATCCAGTCCAGCCATCCCTGCCCACAAACAGCCCTGGAAGAGGGTCCTGAAGTTCTCCCACCTCAGCAGCCATCTCTGGGGTTTGGGGTTTTTTCCCTGCTTGTCCCATTCACTGTGGTGTTGAAGATGGGAATGGGGGGTGGGCACCACCTGGGGGCAGGGGGCACCTGGGATGGGGCAGGGCTGAGGGACGAGCTGGGACCTCGGGGGAGGGCTCAGCTGACCTGGAGGGTCCCTCAGAACCCTCTGTGCTGAACTCAAGCAAAGCTCAGCTTGAGGACAGGGTGACAGATTGCACTCGCAGCACCAGAGCTGGAATTCATTCTTTTTATTAAAAGAAATTGAGGTAAGTGAAATACTTCAGCACCAGCGAGAACCGTTCGTACCCAGGGGCTTCCCCCACCCGGTGCCCCCCACACCTGGGGCCACCACAGGTGCCCAGAGCCCCCAGGGCCAGTGCCAGACCCCGGTGTCACCCAGCAGGGTTGTTTGGAGCTGCTTTCCCCCAGGTGAGGTGAGGCCTGGGCCGGTGCTGTAACACTGAGATGGGGGCTGCTCTGCACGAGGCTGGGGCTCAGTGGGCACAGGGACACCTCCCCCTGCAGGGGTCCTGGGAAAGGGACTCTGGTGACACCACGGGGGAGTCCTGGTGGCAGGGGAGGAGCCCCACGAGTCCTGCCTGGCTGACACATTCTCTGTCTGTGTGTCCTGCTGCAGCCCACCCTGGCGTAAGCAAAAGCATCTTTGGGGCTTGTTCAGGGGGCTCTAGTGGAAAAAAAAAATCTCTTAAATCAAATTAGGGTTCTTAACTATTAAGAAAAAGCAAGTCCTGCAGGTGGCCGAGCTCTGCTGGCCACGGGCAGGGAGCAGCAACCCCGGGCTGGCACCTCCAGTCACTGGCAGCACAGGCAGAAGGGCTGCATTGCACTTCAGGAGGAAAAGGGACAGGTGAGAGGCACTGGCAGCATCATTGATTCATTCTCTCATAAAACAGCCCTTCTGCTGTACCACACTTCTGACCTACAGCCCTTCCTGCTGGACTAAAGGAGGGGCTGTAAAATCTGAAATTCCTCCAGGACCATCACTGGTGAGCCCGGAGTGCCCAGAGCCAGCTCTGTGCCCAGAGCTGTGTGTGAGGGGTGGGCTGTGCTTCCCTCCAGCACTGCAGCTTCTCTGAGCTTTTGTTACATAAAAAACTGTAGAAAGAAGTTGGGGATCTGGGCTGGCCTGGGGGGACCTGGGCAGCTGCACTCACCTGCCCCCAGTTCTTCCTGACCACTGCCATCAGACACCAAACCCAACCTTTTTTCACATTCCCAGGTAAGAGTGGCCCCTCCCCAGGCAGCTCTGGGGCAGGGTGATGGAGAAAAGCTCTCCTCAGATCCTCAGACTGAGATTTCCTTCTGCAGTTCCAGCCCAGTGGGGGATTTGGCTCTGTCCTTTCTCCTCCCTCACCTCAGCTGCCTGGACCTGCCCACGGGGAAGGGATGAGCACTCCCCACCCATCAGCCCTGAAAACATCAGGGAAGGGAGAGCAGAAATGCTGAGCAGCTGCACTTTGGTCTCTTGTGCTTCCTCCCAGGAGGGCCTTTCACAAAATTCACAGCCTGCTCTAAAGGAAATGGGCACAAAGGCAAAGCAACAGAGGTTCAGCCCCCCAAATCCTGCCCCCAAAAAACCTTCACAGCCCTGGGGAGCCCGGGAGCCTCCTGGGGGCACGGGGACAGCCCTGGCCACAGCAGCTCAAGGCTGGTTTTCCTCTACCTAGGAGACAAGACAGACGTGGGACACACAAATCAAATCACCACTGACAGAGGGTGACACACAAATCACCGCTGGCAGAGCCAGGGGCTGCGGGGTCCCCGGAGAGGGGACAGGGGGACATTGGCACTTGTCAGCACGGGGAGGAGAGGAGGGCAGGGTGTCCCTGCAGGGGCAGGGTGTCCCTGGAGGGACAGGGACACAGCCAAGGCCTCGCGGTGCCGGAGCGCCCAGCCCCGCTCTGTTCAATAAATAAGGTACAGGAGGACGGCGGGGACTCAGTTCCGCAGGCGCTTGTGTTTATACATTTTCCTCGTGTCCCTGGCCAAAGGACACGCTTCCTCTGGCCAGCCTGATTTGAAAAAATAAAAGTGTCCCTGCAGCAGCGCTCCCGGAGCCACCCCCGGGCGGGGCCGGGCGGACAAAGGGCAGCTCCCGGCCCCGGGCTCCTCCGGGCTCCGAGCAGCCCCGGCTCTTACGTGGAAGAAGGCGAGTCCATTGTGGAGAGGATCCGCACGACCTCGGCTCGCTGCGTGGGGGAGATGTGCTGGGTCATGTGCACGATGGAATCCATGGCAACCTCGGGATTGGCCTGGACCAGGCTGCGAAGAGCACAGAGGGGAGTGAGGGAGGGAGGGAGGGAGGCAGCTCCAGCAGGGATTCCAGGGGCTGGAACGTGGGGCTGGGAGCAGCTGAGAGCTCCCCAGGGCACTGCTGGGCTGAGTGTGTGCCCCACAGAGAGCAGGGGCTCTGGAGGCACCCTGATGGCACCCAGGTCCCCTCCCTGCTCACCTCCGGATCTGCTTGAGCACGTAGTCCCTGGAGATGTATTTGATGTTCTCCTCCACCACGGAGCGAACGCCCTCCTCCTCCGTCAGCTGCTTCTCCAGCCACTCCACCAGATCCTTGTTGCTGTCCCACAGGTAGGCCTGCCAAAATCCACAGCTCAGCCTGTGCCCCAGCCCTGCCCACTGCCAGCGTCACCCCTCAGCTCTGCACTGGCAGCTGTGGGTGGCACAGCTGCCTGGGCATCCCCACAAACACACCAACAATCAGCACAAGGTCACAGATGGTTCATTTCTTTTGCATCCTGCCATAAATGGGATGGACCAAGGAGGTGCTTGGTCAGTGCTGCAGGGAACAAGCTGCAGCTGTCCCAGATAAATCCCAGCTTCCCTGGTTGTCAGCTCCCCAAATCCTGCTGGAACACGGCTGACCTGCCACGCAGCTGCTCCAGGGATTGTCCCAGTGCCAAATCACCAGGGGACCTGTGAGTCCCCATCAGCTCCAGCCTGGCCCTGTGCTGGTGGCCCAGCAATGCTGGCACCCCTGACCCAGCACAGCAGGGCAGGTCAGTGCCTGGACCCTCAGCACAACCCCCTTTTTGCCTTTCACAAGATCATTTCACCTGGTATTTGCCAGGTAGTTGGCTGTGTAATAACTCAGGAGTGTAGAGCCCCTAACAGCCTTCTCTCCTCTCCTCTCATTTTCTTTACAAATCATTTAAGAATCGTTTTGTTAATGGTTTCCGGAAAAGCAAGTACTGCCATTAGCACTCATTCATATTTATGTCATTTTATTTGGGTAATTAAACACAAAGCTCCTCATTTAAAGGTGCACTATCCTTCTCTGTTATCACTAACCAAGTCAAAGGCAGAATGACAATGAGCTGGGGGCGGTGACACCGTGGTGGCACCTCCTGAGCAGCCAGACCCTGCCACCCCTCTGGGACACAGACCAGGGGTCACAGAGTCCCCGGGGCTGGAAAAACCTCCGAGCTCATGGAGGCCAACATTCCCAGCACTGCCAAGGCCACACTGGCCCCAGTGCCACATCCACACAGCCTTCAAATCCCTCCAGGGGTCGGGACTCAGCACTGCCCTGGGCAGCTGTGCCAGGCCTGGGCAGCCTTCCCAGGGAGCATTTCCCTTCCCAGGGAGCATTTCCCTTCCCTGGGAGGAATTTCCTTTTCCATGGAAAAATTTCCCTTCCATGGAGGATTTTCCTTTTCCATGGAGGAATTTCTTTTTCCACGGAAAAAATTCGCTTACCATGAAGGACTTTCCTTTTCCATGGAGGATTTTCCCTCCCAGGGAGGAATTTCCTTCCCATGAAGGATTTTCCTTTTCCATGGAGGATTTTCCTTTTCCATGGAGGAATTTCCTTTTCCATGGAGGAATTTCTCTTCCCATGAAGGAATTTCCTTTTCCATGGAGGATTTTCCTTTTCCATGGAGGAATTTCCTTTTCCATTGAAGAATTTCTCTTCCCATGAAGGAATTTCCTTTTCCATGGAGGATTTTCCTTTTCCATTGAAGAATTTCCTTTTCCATGGAGGAATTTCCTTTTCCATGGAGGAATTCCCTTTTCCATGGAGGAATTCCCTTCCCAAGGAGGACTTTTCCCAGTATCCAGCCCAGTCTCCTGCCCAGCCTGAGGCTGTCCCTGCTCCCTGGCTGTCCCCTCAGTCAGGGGCTGTGCAGAGGGGACACCTTCCCCTGTCCCAGCCCTGTCCAGCCTGGCCCTGGACACTCCCAGGGAGCTCCAGGAGCTGGGGCTCCCCTGGAACCTCTGCCAGGGAGGAATTCTGGTTGCAGAGCCCATCCCAGCCCCTGACACACTTCAGGAACCCCAGGATTGTTTCATTTCCTTTCACACGATGCCTCTGATTGTCTCAGCCCGGTGATGTCACTTCAAGATTTTGCTTATTTCATTGTTTTTCTCCTTATTCTGGTTTGAAGCTGGGAGTTTTGCTCGCTGCCTGTGCCCCTGGCAGGCAGCAGCAGTCCCTGCACACAAAGGCAGGTTCCAGGGAAGGGGGGAAAGCCCAGCCCAGACCTGAGCAAAGCTCCATTTACCCAAGAATCCCAAAGCTTTTCGTTTAGGAGAATATTTAATACTCTTATTAATCATTTTTAATCCGTTTGCTTTTAATTAAGAAACAGCATGATGCTTCCCTATCAACATATGCCAGGGAGCAGATTAATTGTGGCTTAAGATAACTCTCCTTGATTGGTGTAATGTATTAGCTAACGAGCTGCCTGCTTTTGGAGAGCTCAGGCTCTACCTTGGAAAGGCTGCTGCCCTCCAGAGAACATTCCCCCCTTCCCTGGAACCCCTGGGTGTTGGGGACTTCAAAAACAGAATGAAAAAAAATAGAATTAAAAAATAAATCACCCAAATAAAATAGAATTTTAAAATATAAAGCAAAATAAATAAAGTAAAATACAATAAATGAGGTAAAATAAATAAAGTAAAAAGTAAAATAAAGTAACGTAAAGTAAATAAAATTAAATAAAATGAATAAAATTAAATAAAGTAATATAGTAACAAAGTAAAATGAAATAAATAAATATATAAAATTAAGTAATGTAAATAAAATTAGATTAAATAAAACAGAATAGATAAATAGAAAAATAAAATAGAATAATGTAGAAAAAATAGGAAAATAGAATATAATAAAATAGAAAAAATAGAATAAAATGGAAAAAGTAGAAAAATAGAATAAAATAAAATAGAATAGAATAAATAGAATAGAATAAAATAAAATTAAAATAAAATAAATTTTAAAAATAAAGTAAAATAAAATAAAATAAAATAAAATAAAATAAAATACAATACTGAGATTGGAGGCTTGTGACAAAACCAACCCAAGAGCAGCTCCAGAGCTTGCCCTTCCTGCAGGCTGAGCACACTCCTGGCAGGAACAACCCAGTCCCTGCTGTGCATGCCCACCATGGGCTGGCAGCCCTGGCAGGGGCTCAGGGTGGCAGTGCCCTGAGTCTGGGCAGGACAGGGCTGGCTGCCACCCACAGTGACCTTCACCCTGCACTGCCCTTCACCCTGCACTGCCCTCCACCATGGACTGCCCTCCACCATGGACTGCCCTTCACTGTGCCCTCCCTCACTGCCCTCCACCCTGCACTGACCTTCACCGTGCCCTCCACCTCGACGAACCAGCGGCGCAGCATGGCCTGGATCTGTCCGTCTGTCAGCTCGGGGTT